CATCCTAGTACAGTCATGTAGTACTCATGTATGTCTTCCTCTGCACATGCATGCTTACAGCACACAAGTACAAACACAAGCTTTCCTAGGACAGTTTTTAACTGAATCTGTGCTGGGGAGAATATTGGGAAGGCCCGAGGCCCTGTCCTATCGGCTTGACTGTGTCCTAGTGCTTGTTGGTGTCTATTGGGGCCCAGCGGAGGTGGTTGTAGCCATTCAGCCTCCGTAAGGGCCTGTTGTCAGCAGCCAGTTAACTTCTCTCTTTTGTTTAGCATAACACCATGGAGTCATTGTTAGAGCGAGGCGAGAAGCTTGATGACCTGGTATCCAAATCAGAAGTACTGGGAACACAGTCGAAAGCCTTCTATAAAACTGTGAGTAGCGCTGCCTGGCCCTCCTGGGTATCCCCTCCCATAGAGCCATTGCAGCTTGTTTCCCTGGCACTCTTTATTTAGCCAAGATTGGATATGGTACCACTCCTTGGGGTGTGGGAGTCTAAAGTACTTGAGCCTCGGTGATTGGCAGCTTACTCTCAGGCATTCTACTTGACTAAGGTTATGCCTGGCTGGGTTCAGAGCCAGCACCCACTTCCCATTCTGATTCCTCTGTTGGCAGAGCAGTCTGTTCGTTCTCTACCACATTTCCCTTAGTGGCAGGGCTTCTTCTGTTAACTGAGTTTCTCTCCAGGCATTACTTAAATTTCTAATTGTGAATATTGTGTTTTGTTTAATGCATATGGATGTTTTGCCTACATGTATGTATGTATACCACATAAATGCCTGGTGCCCTTAGAGGCTAGAAGAGGACATAGAATTCCTTGAACCTGGTGGTAGAGGTGGTTGTGAGCTGCCATGTGGGTGATGGGAATTGAATCCTGACCCTCTGAGAGCAGCTAGTGCTCATAACTGCTGAGCTATCTCCTCAGCCCCAGCATTGTACTCTTGGCCCGTTGTGGTATTTACGCTGAGTTGCATATTGGTTAGGAGGTGGCCTTTGATGAGTAGGCAAGAACAGGTACAATAGCAGCCCTACAAACATGAGCCAGAACCCTGTTTCTTCTCAGACGGACCATTCTCCAGAAACACCATCAGGGTGGTCGATAGCACTGAGATACTCAGCCAATCCAATTTCTATTACTGCTTCTTTTGCTTACACATGGTCTGACATCAGGAACTTTATGAATTTATTGAGAGCGTTAGTGGGGTGTGAAATAAATGTAAGGAGCCCAGACTAGCAATGGAAGCAGTGTCACTGTGGGCAGCTTCCTTTGAAGCCCTGAGGGCCATCCCAGTAGTTGATTTTACTTTCTCTTATCTGCTCGTTTCAGTGGAGCTCCGTCCCCTGCACCCTCCAGCCCTTCTCAGCACCCTGTAGACCTCCAGCCCTCCTTGGCACCCTTCATCCTCTTTTTTTGCCTTTTTCTTTCTTTCAAGGCCCGGAAACAAAACTCATGCTGTGCAATCATGTGATATAGCCACAGAGGCAGGCGCTGGATCGTCATGTCACATCAGAACTGCAGCTCCTGGAGATGAAGCGATACCCTGAAGAAGATCTGGAGCCAGGCAGACTGGCTGTTTTTATTTTGACGTTCTCAAGAGGAATGGAGGGATGACTTTAAGGGTGGGAACATTGATGTTCACATGTGTGGCTGTGACTTCAGGAAAGAATGTGAGGTCCTCAAAGATGTAATGTTGGGAAAATGAAACTATAAACTCTAAGTGGCTCTTATAGGTGCTGAAGGGCTTATTCTCAGCTAACCCTGGAAGGCTCTTTGGGAGAGAATCTTTTTCCTGATCCTTGATGCGACTTAGGATTTCATTTGTGCATTAACGATATTAACTCTCCAGTGAATGGGGTGGGGGGAGGGGGTCTGGGTGATAGGACTGGGTGGGCAGAGTTTGAACACTCCGGAATTCTAGTCTCTTGCACTGTGGGGGCTGGGAGAAGCTCACCATGAGTAGCATCAGGACTGTCAAAGTGGTCACTGCATCTCCTCTGTTTGACTTAACTGTCTGCTAGAATTGGCATCTACCAGGAACAGGGCCCATCCTAAGTACCTTCATCCAGTACCACAAACTTGTGGGAGGTACTTAGAATGGGTTAAGAAGGGCAAGATGTGTGAGTTGTAGTTTTATCAGCCAGCAGACTGTTAAGACTGGGGCTGCTCTGGTGTCGGGAGGGTCAGCTGGGAGTGTCCATCTTCAAGGGAAGAAGCAGACACAGGTGCCCTCAGCTGTCCAGTGTGGAGGCACATGCACCTTGACTTGCAGTTGGACTTTGACATTACGATCAAAGTAGTGGGTGCTGTCATCTCTCAAAGCTGGTTTTATTTGTCTCTGTCAACAAGGCTGTTTTGGCAACTGCTTGGGGCCTGCATGTTTGAGTAAGTCATTTCTGTGGGTACCAGGGACAGGTGCCAGCAGCCTGAAGGGTTCCAGCACCCATCTGTGGTCTGTCCAGCTCTGGCTTACAGCCCCTCCCCAATCAGAGACAGCCACAGAGTAGAAGATGTTGACGGGTTGGTCTGAGCTAGCACCCACTGCCAGCACAGTCTGTGTGGTGAGCCCAGGATGTGCTGGGTCCCACATTGCCTCTTCATGTTCTGTGCACAGAGTATGTCATGAGATCCTGTCTCCCCAGAAACAACTGCTAGGATGCTAGCTAGCCTCTGAATTTTGAGCCAGAGTTGTCTTACTCTGATGATCCCTACCCTGAGCCTGTTGAGCTACCCTCAGGAGTGCCCGTATGGGGAGGGGGATGTCTACTATGGCTTTCAAAATCCTTACTTATTGGTATATCTGCCTGTTTCTCTGGGTACTGCTAGCCAAAGGGCTCAGGCTCCCCCTGGAGTGGCCTGCTGTCCTAGACCTCCCCCTCCCGGGGCCCGTCTGTTGTTGGCACTCGAGGTGGAGTCGATGGCCTGGGTGTCGCCTGTTTTCTTGCTCTGGAGGGTGCTGGGGAAGAGTGGGGGGTGGGTGGAGGCAGGCACTTATGGGGAAGAAAGAGCTTCACCCACATATGGCTGTCCTACGGAGTTTCACTTGCCCTTCAATGGATTGAGTTGCCATGTGTTTCGTGCCCCCCCCCCATTATATTCTAATGTTAAATCACTTGGCAAAAGTGTATTTTAATAATGCCTAATTTCTCTGTTCTGTTTGAAGGTTTCTGTCTAGATAAAATTGTCTTTTGAAATTCCAGTACTGTCCTGTGTTTACTTTTAGCTTCAGGGAAATCTCTGTCTCCAACCCAACCACTGAGGGGTGGGGAGATACCTGAGTACTTTGTTCCTGCAGGTACTAGAATCCTGTCCCAGATAAATTTCCAGGCTTTCCTGGTAGGAATCCTATTTCCTTATTTACTGGTAACCAGGTGAGGGAGCTCTGGAGTAGCCTTGCCATCTCAGAACCCAGTTCTCTGCACCCTGGAGAATTTGTCTGGGAGAGCTGCCTCTTAGCAATAGAGCCCTGGAAAGGCAGCTTTCCTTTGCCCGAGTTTCTGAGTTGTAGGCTGACTCTATACCACCTAGCTTTCCAGAGTTTGTGGGGACTCCTGACCCCTGAGGGGCACAACTAACTTGTGAGGGTCAGGATAGAAATATTCAAATCTGGAGTGTGTTTTTAAGTTTTAGAATGGCCCCAGTGGCTAGCAGTTTGTGGCCTGAGGCGTCTGCAGCCTCAGCAGGTCAGCTAGCCTTGCTTTTAGCCTGTACCTGGTGTCCTGGTTGTCAGAGACTCCTGCCTGACTTGGGCAAGCAGTCCTGGATCCAGTGTGCTACCTCTTCCTGATCTGTGGACCCAGTAGAGTTCAGAGTACCCTGAACCTTCTTGGGTGGCAGATGCCTAAGGAGCTTTGCTCAAAATAAAAACGATGAATGAAATATTTTTGAAGAGAGTCCCCTTTGCCTGTAGTACTCAGTCCCATATGGAATGGTTAGCCCTGGATACTTACTGCCTTGAAAACCCTGTCAGCACTGCCCTGCTGTCCAGCATCCACAGAAAGGCTTCAGGAATAATGCATGGGGGAGGCTCACACTCTGCAGCTTGTTGCCTTCCTGAGGGAGGCTGGCCTGGAAACGCTCCTCCGATTACAGCTGATAGGTTGTCTGGAACCCTAGATAGAGGGCCCATTGCTGCTGCACCTGTGGACACTGGCCTAGATTCTTTGTTTTAGCTCCTGAGACCTACTGCCTGCCTGCCCATATACCTGAAAGCACCTAGGTGTAGCCCACAGAGACCATGAGGTAGACATCAATAGCCTCCTTTACAGAGTGGAGTGTTTAGAAACATGCTTAAGAGAGAAGAGGCAGGCAGTTGGGAGTGGTGGCCAGTTCTGAACCCCTTGGGCCTCCCTACTCCTAGTGGACCAGGGGTATAGGGGCTCATCTTGGCCAACTTCTGAGCAAACCTAGAAGACAGGACAGGGCCAGCACAGGTTACAGAGAAAGATTTGCCCTATGCTCAGGGTGGAGATGCAGGGGAGAAGCTGGGGAGGGGGTTTCTCTGCTTTGTAGCCATGACAAAGTTGGCCTACAGACCCTGCCACCTGGTCATGGTCTTGGCTGGCTTTTTTCTGACTCCTGGATACCTCTGCTCATGGTTAAGATCTCTGACTTGGACTCCAGGTTAAGCCTCTCTGCGAAGCCTCGATAACCACCCATGATGGCTACCATATAACTAACTACACTGTGCTGTTTGCATCACGCATGGGGGCAGAGTTGGGGGGTACTTAACACATGACTTCATGTCTGGAACAGTCAGCATGTCAAACTGGAAGGTCATGAAAGGAGCTCGAGGGGAAGGACACTTGGATCTTGGACCTGGGTGCTTCCCTGTACAGTAGCTGCCCTTTCTGGAGGCCACCCTTCTGGTGACTGGGATGAGGGGCAAGAACAGGGCTTTGGACCCCATGTCCTTCCACCCTGACCACATATAGCCTAGGGAGCAGATGAGTCTGTACCAAGGAGGGTTGGCAGGGTCCCAGCATAAACTACTCAGCTGTACTTGAAGCAAGTTGTCCTTTTTTTTTTTTTATTTGCAGTTTCCCGAGACAGAACAAAATAATAAGTTTTGTACACCTACAAGGCTCAGAAAGAAAAGACAATGGAACTCAGCAAAAAGAGAAGAGGGAGGGGCCGCCAGTACTGCAGGCAGCAACACGCTGCAGCACTGGCCAGCGGCCGACGCCACCACCCGCGAACACCTAGCCAGCGGAGCAGGAGTGACCTGCTCTTTAGAGGGTCATGCAAAAGAATTGTCCCCCAGAAAAAAAAAAAAATCCCCAAATTATCCCAGACAGGCAGCTTTGTGGAGATAACAAGGAGGGTGAGGAGAGGGAAGGAGACCCCAGGATGCCAGGGTGGCTGGTCACAGGGCCTCACACTGTTCGTGGCAAGCCCTGCCACTCCATGGCCTTGGGCCACTCAAGTGGAGCCTGGCAGATGTTTACCCTGTGTCCATGGGTAGGAGACAGCTGTCCTGGGCACAGTGTGGATGAAAGGTGGTATCCACTGAGTGTCTGTAGGTGGACAGTCCCCTTGGAGTTTAGGATCCTGTGTCCCGTTCCCACTTCATGCCCCTCCCCTGACTTGATTTGTAGAAGATAAAGAAAATCCTGGTTGAAAATGATGTGAATTTAAAGTGGGCAGCACTGGGTGGAGGCCCTTGGACTTCTGCAATCAAAGCTCCTGACCACCCCCACCCAACCCGGCTTCACACCGTTCTCCCTAGCCTGACTCTGCAATGTTGCCAGCCTCCTCGTGACTCCTTCTCTCACCAAGGGCCAGGGCCAACCACAAGAAGCAGTCAGTACGTAGGAGCACCACTAGGCCCAGGAGGTGGCACACCACCCTAATGGACCTTCCACCCACTACTATCCAGGCCCACACCCATAAGTCTCTACCTCCAGCCTGCCTTCTCTCTAGACTGTTTCTGGCCCACCTGGAAGGGCCTCACACGACACAGTCCTAACCAGTTTTATCCTTCCATGTGCCCCTGGATGGCTCACGCTCTGACTTCCGCTCCAGGCCCAGGTTAGGAAAGCACGCCTACTTCATCAAACAGGGCCTGTGTGGCCCTGCATTGCCCGGAGCCTAAAACCCATCGTCTGGCCCTTCTTCACCACACTCTGCATCATTCGACCAAGACTCGAGCACCCAGACCCCAAGCTCAGTGAGCAAACATCCCAGATACAGTAAGGCCTACTCCCAGCATCCATCCAGTATTTCAGGTCCTCAGTCCTTGGTGGGTCTGCTGCCAGCTTCACAGAAGGAACTGTCCAGGCCAGGGGTGGGCCACTGTTGCTCTGCTGCTGGTGGCAGGGAAGGGACAAGTGCCCCAAACAGGAAGGAGCCATCCTCTGGTCCAGTCCTCTCTTCACAGCTAGGTGCTTTCTCCACCAACCCTTGCCAGGCACTCCCTGAAGAACTAGAGCTGAGAGCCCAAGCTCTTGTCTGATGAGCTCAAGGACAAGCTTCTTCCACACACTCCATGGGGCAAAGGTAGGTCCTTGGCTAGAAGGCACCCACCCAGCCCTGCACAGGATGAGGGACGGCAGGGAAAGCAGGGACAGCAGCGACTCTCAGGCACAACTAGCAGGAAAGGAGGCAGCCCCCAGCCCTTCCCAAGACACCTGACACCACGACAGCCAGGTTAGCATGTGGGGCCCATGCATGGGAGGGAGGATGCAGACGCCCAAGGTGGGGTGAGTGCGGTACCTACAGACTAACACGGTCAGCACGGGCACATTCACGCCCTGAGGGTCCCCAAAGCCAGGAGCGCAACAGACACATGTGGAGCTTGGGTGGGGGGGTGGCCCCACAAATGCCAGATTTTTACAGCTTTTTCCTTTCTTTCGTTTTTTTTTTCCATTTCATCCGATGCCAATTTTTTTCTTTTTTTCTTTTTTCTTTTTTTTTTCCTTTTTTTTTTTTTTTGCGTGTGGTTGTTGTTGTCATCATCTTATTTTTAAAAACAAATCACATCTGGTCTTGTTTTTCTGCAGACACAGGCACCAGGGGAGGGGACGAGGCAGACACAAACATGCGACAGGCAGGCCGTGCGCCCGAGGGCGGCTGGGCTCCAAACACCAACTCTGTCCGGCGAAACCAGGCGCAGCTCTGAAACGGGGGATGGGGTGGGGGCGGCAGGTCACCTTCCTCAGGACATCACCCACACCCTGAGGACCCAAGCCTTTGCTAGTTGGAAAAAGTCCTGGCAAGAACCATTGAGTTAATGTCTCTTCAGGATGGGGCCTGCCAGGAGAAGCAATTGCTACCTCCACCCTTTATAGGCAGCCCCTGCCATGGGTGCTAATAGTTCTGACTAGAGCCCAGGGCCCACCCTGATCCCCGGCTCCATCTCTGACCCAATCAGCTCGCCTGCCAGGCCACACCCCAGGTACTCACCTCACTGCAGTGGGGCCACTGGAGCGCCCGAGCAGTGGAAATGTACGTTCTGCCACTTGCCATCGCGGCGGTGCCACACGCGGGTCTCCTCGGACTGGCTGGTACGGGGCCGGCCCTGGCCATCGATGTACTGTGTGAGGCGGATGTAGGCGATGCAGGCTGCATCCTCACCAATGACGTGCACGTGCGGGTTCAGGATGGTGGTGTGGATCGGCTTGCTGTTCTTGGCCAGCACTGCGGACAAGCGGGCATTCTGCACCGACAGCACCAGGCACAAACACCTCCCACCCCTCCACCTTGAATCCCCTTCGTGGGGGCTGCCACAGCCCTCTCCCCTGACTGAGGGGTTAAGGGATCCCCTTGATGGTGTCTCCCCATCATGCCCACCCCGACCTCCTCACTCACGGTTCTCAAAGTAGAATCTGTGGAAATCCATCCCTTCGACTAGGTTGCCCAGAGCTTCAGGCTCAAATGAGGTCAGGCCTGGGTCACAGATTTTCCTGGGGGGCAAACCCAAGTGAGGAGGGGCCCCATCCTCCATCCTCGCCCTCCACAACCCCCCACCCCAACCCCCCCGGAGACTCACGCATAGGCCTCAAAGTCGCCGTTGTTGACTGCCTCGATGAGCTGCTCTGTGGTCTTGATGATTTCCTGCTTCCGGGCTGCAGGGAGAAAACAGGGATGACCACTAGGCGCTAACCTGTTTCACCCCCAACTCTAGCAGAGCCCAGGTAAGCGGCCTTGGAGAATCGAGAGCTGCAAGCAGCATCCACATAGCTGCTCCCACCCTGGCTCAGGTCTGTCCTCTTCAGAAAGGGCTTTCAGTCTCTGGCACCTGAATTCAAAGTATCTCCATCACCCTGCTCCCTGTGCCACCAGCGCTTTCCTCATTTCCACATGCAATGGCTTCTTATCAAATAAAGTATTTTTAAGAGGCAAATACCCTATCCAGATTAGAAAATGTCTTCAAAAATGCAGAAGGGAGGAATAAACCTGCCCACAATCCATGCCACGGTCACCTCCCAGCATCTGCTAGCCATAACTGCTGGACTCCCATTCTGCCTCTCCCCTGGCTTGTTCTGCCTCGTTTTCTAACAATGCTGTGCCCACTTAATAACTCCTTCCCCCAACAGTTCTTGGGTGGAGAAGAGCCACCATCAGAAGGCATGGTCATAGGCTTCGGGTTCCTTGGATATGAGTAGGGGTGGGAGTGGGAGTGGCTTCTGGGAAAGACTGAAGGGCAGGATGGCCGGGGACTCTTCAGAACAAACAAGTTGTCTCTCACCACTCTCTCCAGTTTCCCAGCCTCTCACCTGCTTGGAGCCCTGGGCCATGTGCTGTGCTAGCAAAACCCACCCTTAGTGTCTGCAGCCTCAGTCCCGTTGCTTCTCCTGAGCACTAGCTCTTGGCTTTGAGATGATGAACCTTTTACTTTAACCATGAAGAACATACAGAGAATAATCCTACAGCAGGGCTTTCAGTACCAGTGGGTGTCTGGGTGCCCACCCCATCAGGTGCCCTGAAGGACTGAATCCACAACAAAGAGGTGGCCTGCTTCATGGGAATGCCATGTATGTGCATGGACACCAGCCTCTCCTTGTGAACAGATGAGCTGTGATTGCTCCGATGTCCTAGACATTGGCAGCAGAAGTTGATGGAGAGCACCTTAGGGACTTAGGTACACTTATGTAAGGGCATATGGAATGCATATGGAGTCCACAGCATGACGTGTACGTGTGCATTCAGTTCATGAGTGTGAATAGCTTCATGTACATGAGCAGGCATACACGAGTGTCATGTAGATGTGTGTATGTATGCATGCATACACATTTGTTTGTGAGACACACGGTAAGTGTCCTTGTGTTGTGTCTATGCATGCTGTGTGAGCGTGTGTAGGCGTATGCACTGCACCCATGAGAGTACCCCAACTTGGAAAAACATTCTGTCCTAACCCAGCTCCCCTTCTGCTATCTTACTTCAGTTTCTGCCCTATTCTTGAGTCTAAATCATATCGCCATCCGAACTCAGGGTAAGGTCATCACCGTTACCCAGCACCTCTGACAGGGATACCCGGAATGCTGAGTCTAGGCGGTAGACTGTGACTTCCAGAGCCCCGTTTCTTCCTGTTCCCATTCCTAACCACACGCCTATGTACCCCACTCTAGGAGAGTACCAAGGCTCCGTCCTAAGCATGCAACAGCCCTTCTTGTTCTTACCTTTTGGATCCCAGAGCACACCTGATGCTCCAGTCCCCAGAGCAGTGCCCACTCTTCCCAGGGCTCATCACTCTCGGCACCTCACCCCCTCCCATTTGCTCCTTCTGGAGATGTCTCAGGCTTCAGGCCAGCTCCTTTCCCCAAACCAGGCTTCCACTCTGCCTCCCCTGAGGCTTGCTAATCCCTTTTTAATAGATTCAACTGCCCCATTCCTCTACAGGACTCCCTCAGCACACGACAAAAGTGGCCAGAACTAAATGGCATTACTGCTTGGTTTCAAGCATTCAAGATTCTACCTTCCACCGTGGTTAAGTGGACTAATTTTCTATTTAATGAAGTTAGGCTGTGGGAGCCAATGTTAAATCAACTAAGAGGAGATCCATGATCACAGCACCAGTCAGAATGTGCTGGAGTTTGGGACCAGCATTCTTGTGAGAGCCACTGGCCCATCTGACCCTCAGGGAAGCTGAGGCTGCCTTATGAACAGGACCTGGACACCTCCTGATCTGCAGAATGGCTGCTGCCCAGACACCAGTGGAAATCAAACGTGAGGGAGGGACCAAGAAGCTCTCCTACAGGGATAACCCAGGTGAAGAAGCCTGAGACCAAGGACAATTGGTCCCATACCCTGCAGGTCTAGAGAAGAAGCCAAAGAGGCGGGCAGGGTTTTTCAGGGGCCCAGAGCGGGAGTGCTCCACAGCACTCCTATGCAAAGTCAAGCAGCCTAAGGGAGGCTGAGGGCATCCAGGTAGGACCAGTGAAAGTTTGTGCCCCTCCCCCGTCCCAAAACCCCTCACACTGGCAGGCAGAGCAGCTGACTAGGGATCAGCCAGGATCAGCCTGAATCCTGTGTAATCCCTGATTAGGAAGTGAGGCCTGGGGTACTGAGAGCATGGGGTGGGGAGGGGCTTGAGCCTGAAGAGGGTTGATAGGAACCTGTAACCTAGTTGGTGGGTTGTAACCCTCCCAGGAGAGAGGGGCCCAGTGCCATCTGATGTCACCCACGTGTCCCTGTATTTTACTAAATGTCTTTTCCTTCTGCCCAGCCCCTTGCAGGATGACCAGATGCCACCACCCAGTTGTTCTCACAACCCCCTCCTGAAGGACCCCTTTCCCTAGCCAAGCTCAGCATAGACCTTACAAGGGCAGATCAGTGTCATAGCCTCTAAAGTGACGTGGTCACTTGGTGCTCCCCACAGACCTGGCCTTAGAGCAACCACCTGGCCACTGTAGAGACCCCCCAATGCAGATCATGTTTCAGGCTGACCCTCAACAAAAACAGTGTGGCCCTGGAGATCAGAGGAGGAAGCACCCGAGTGTTGGCCAGAAGCTGTCTTGCACCCACCAGTGGAGAGCATCCCCTCCATGCTTTGTGAGTACCGGCTGCTATCTACCCCCGACCCTGTCCCTCACCCCACCACCAGAAATAACCTGGCTGCACGCCTCACAACTCACCTCTGATCCCCTCAGCTGACCATGGAGCGCCCTGGGGGTTCACACCCTCCAGAGGCTGTCCCTTACCCCGCTAAACCTGCAAACTGTGGATGCCCACCCTTGTGTGCCGCTGTGACCGCCTCTCTGTTCTGGCGATCTGCAACATCCCCCGACTCCGGCCTAACAGGTAGAGGTGATGGGGTAGGATACCCCAAGCCCACCGCTCATAGCTACTCACCCAGCCACTGCCCTGCCATGCTGCGGCCCTGGCCCAGCAGCCTGTTCTCTGAGAACATCTCAGCACCACCCCCAGCCCCGTGTCTCCCTGGAGGCGGGGGCAGCGGTGGCTGCAGCCTTGGATGTCATCCATCCCTGTAAGTGATACTGGCAGACAGTCGACAGACAAGCAGAAGAGCCACCTGCCTGCTTCTCTCCCTAACTCATCCTTAGCCCTGGCTGCACCCCCAACCTCCCCGCCCAACGTCCAGCCTGGCATGTGCCAGAATCCCCAGGAGTTCCTTTCCCTGCCATCTTGTCCGCCAAGGTCTACTCTCACCCGGGCAGCCCTTTCTCAAGGATTCCTCATGCACTGGTGGGCACCTGCGCACCACCGGCTCCTATCCAAATGTGGTGGCTGCATGGTAGCAACGAGTCCAGGTCAGTAAAGCATTTGGGGGAGCCTTCCCACATGCATGAGCTCACACATAAACGCACACACTTTATGTCCATAATCTGCATGTACTGAAACCCACTGCTTTCTTCATGTACTTTGACATGAACCTTGTGACCTGACAGATGTCGTACCCCCCATATATCCACAAGTTGGGTTATTCCCAGAATCAGGCTAGTTGGCCATGCACCATAATGGGGGCTTGCTCCTCCATGGAGCTGCCAGGGCCACTTGAAGTGCTACTTACATGGGGTGGGTAAGGGGCCAGGGAGAGTCGGAGATGGGCAGGGTGGGGGGCCCACTGGTGGGAGGCCCTCAGCTTCTGGGGTCCCTGAGCCCCGCCTCACTGAGTTCAGGATGTCAGAGATCCTGGGGGCTGGGGCAGAACAGACACACGTGAATACAGGCGGGGGGATCATGCAGGAAAGAGACAGAGAGCCAAGCCAGATAGTAAGGGAGGCTGGAGAGAGCTGTGAGGGCACCAGGAGTCACGGGGACACGGGGGATGGGAGGCATAAACATTGTGGAAGGGGACATCAGGAATGCAGATGCTTTTGTCCATTTTAGTGTGCTAAGCCGGAAGCTGCCCGGGCAGAGGATACCCTCCAAGGAGAGGCAACCTGGCCCCCAAGAAGCCAGAGGCTGTGGCTACAAGTGGCGGACCTTTGAGAAGTACTTGACAGGTGGGTAGAGGAGTGGATGGAGGGGAGGAGGGGTGTTCAGAAGAAGGACCTGTTTTGGCCCATGTGGGGCAGCCCAGGCCAGTGGAAAGCCAGGCTTCTCTTCTGAATGTCTCCTTACCTACAAGGCCCTGGTTAAGGTTCCCATTCTGACACCTTCCTTGACCTCCCCTGCCTCGGTTAGTGAATGATGCTCGGGGGCGGGGGGGGGGGACACATCAGGAATCAGGGGCTGCTCTGGAGACAGGCTCCGGGGCACTGTGACCAGGGCAGGGTAGGGCGTGAGTGGCCAGAAAATTCTTGGCAGAGATGATCTGGGGACACGCCCCCTCCCCAGCTAATTATTTTGCAGGGGTGGGTCTGAATGAAGTGAGGTGAGCAGCGTGCAGGAAGGGAGTAGAGGAAGGAGATGAGTCAGAGGTGGGCCCAGGAGAAGCCAGGTAGCTGCCCAGCTGTGTTAATGCATGTGCCTTGGATAAGGCCAGCCAGACTGGACACCCATCGGGCATCCTGGTCTGGGGGAGCTTGGCCGTGCATGGCAGGTGCAGGAAGCTGAGCACTGGCCATTCTCAGCGAGCCCTTGGTAGCAGAGGCAGCAAGCCCGGGGCTACTACTTACACGGGGTGGGCAGGGGGCCTAGGAGACCCGGAGACAAGCAGGGTGGGGGCCCCACTGATAGGGGTCCCTCGGCTTCTGGGGTTCCACAGCCCCTTCTCACCGAGTTCAGGATGTCAGAGATCCTGGGGGCTGGGGTGGAACAGACACACGTGAACAGAAGGCAGACAGACATATGAGGAGACCGAGGAGACAACAGAACTGGCAGGACGCAGGCAAGAAGGGGTCCTGTTCTCGCCACAAGGGGATTTGGGACCTGGCTTCCTGTTTGGTGCCAGTCTTAGGAGCAAGAAGCCCCCAGAGGTGGTGTAGAGGGAGGTTTGGGTGGGCTCTGGAGGCCTAGAAGTCAAGGCCAAACCCTTCAGGGATCATTTAGTGGCCGTGAGCAGGAAAGGAGGCTATGACAGCACCCCCAGAGACCAATAGAGGCCTCTGGCTGGACAGAGGGAGAGCCCCAGTCTGGGGGCTGTGTGAGGGTATGGCTACAGCCAGGAATCCGGGCCTGTCCAGTCCTTGGCTCTTAAATGTCCCCTCAGAGAGTTGCCAGGCCCTTCAAAGTCATCCCCACAGCGGCAGGGCCCAGGCTACTTACACGGGGCTGGAAGGGGGCTAATGGGAACTGGAGATGGGCAGGACAGGGGGCCCTCGGCTTCTGGGGCTCCTGAGCCCCTCCTCACCAAGCTCAGGACATCAGGGACCCTGGGGGCTGAGGCAGAACAGAAGCAAGCAGTGGATGGTAGACACTCAAGACAGAAAGTGGCAGAAAGAGCCAAGAGACACAGGACGGCTGAAAAGGTTACAGTGTAGAATCCCAGGCCACTGCCGGGGACCTAGAGGACAGAGGTGAGGAGGTCACTCTTGGGGACACCCAGAGGTATCAGCAGGGCTCATTCTGTGGGTTAGGCTAGGATTATAGAGTGGTCCTCACTGAACATGGTGGCTTTGGGAACTGTCCTGGCTCCGTCTTAGCTCTTGGACATGACTGGGGTTGGAGTATGGAGGACACTCAGGGACAGCATCCTAGCTGGGGAGGAGCAAAGGAGTCAATTCTATCTGACCATCCTAAGGGCAGGTTAGGGCTCCATGGACAGCCTGGAGTTGTCAGACCTCGTTCTGGGGGAGTGGAGGGGCAAAGAAAGTGGGAGAGGCTAGGAGGACACTCACTGATAGCAGGTGACTAGGGGCATCTGTGAGAACGGACATCACTGGCAGGGCTCAGGGTGTGGCACAGAAGCCCACCTCCAGAGGGAGCTCCTGAGTCATCAAAGGAACCAACACTTCCGCTACCTGGCCACTCACTGGCCAGATGGACAGAACCGAAGCTCAGGAAATTTAAGTTGTATCTTGATCAAATATCACACACATACTTCACACCCAGTGAGAAGCGAGTTCCTGGCTCCCAGGACGGAGAACTGTGACTTCCTCATGTGTGCACTATGCCTGAGATACCCCAGCCATGATGTCCCAAACAAGCTTTGACTCACACCAGACGGGCCCTGAAGCAGGGCCCTGAACCTCTGTACCATGGTCTGCGCAGCAGGACCAGAGTTGCTGCAGAAGGCCCACCCACTGCCAACACCACGGCCCAGATGATCATCGAGGTCTCTGTGCAGGTACCTTTGGCATCTTCATCCTCTATGGTTGTGTTGGTGCTGTCGGAAGACTCCTGAGGAAACAGAGAGACAGGGGTCAAGATGTGGTCAAGGACAGGCAGGACACCTCCACTTGTGGAGTGAGCCTGGGTTCCAGCTTGCAGACCCTCTCTGTCTTTCTCTGAGGAGAAAGGTCTAACTGTGTATGCTCTCAGGAGGGCTTCTACCCCAGAGCTCATTCTGTCCCTTGCAGGCCACCACATTTCCAACAGCAAGGGCTTCAATCTCACCTTCCCCAAGAGACAATGAGATACTCGGCTGACTCTGAGAGCAGACCTTTTGAAACCCCAAGATGGAAAAACATGGGGCTTGGCTGAATTTTAGTGATGGAAGGCCTAGAAACCTAGGCAGTGGGCAGTTGTGGTCAGCAGCTTTTAAGAGAGGGTCACCTTCCCCGAGAAGAGATGAGATCCCTAATGCCAGTGTCCAGCCTAGGCCTGGAACTTTAGCAAGGCCCAGCTTCTACCACCTTCAAGTGGTGGCTGACTTCTGAGCACTGCCATACCAACACGTCCCCAGAAAACCAAAGAAACCTCTCACAGGTCTTTGGTACAGATACTGACTGAACGTGGCTCCAGGGGAAAACCGGGGGCCTTCAAATATAAGGTCAGGCCTTACCCTGGCCCAAAGGTTGACTAGTATGACCTCACCTGACATGAGGGCCCAAAGGGTACCCATCACTCAGGTGGGAGGAAACACAGACATTTGGCGTTTTGAACATATATAGCTGCCCTTGGTCCCTGGCGTGGAGAAGGGCCAGGTGCATATTCTGGCCTAAGGAAGTGGGGGTACCCCCCGTGTCACCTTGTCGGACAGTTGGGGAGCCCAGCGCAGTGGCTGGACTGTAAGTGGTTCTAAGACCTGCCCGTCTCTCCCACCTCACAGAAAGCCAGCCCCTCCCGGACCCGGGTGATGATGCCAATGTGATGGGAGCAGATGGCAGAGCAGAGAGGAGCAGGAAGCGCTGGGGCCACGCTGGGGGGTGAAGGTGGAAAACAGTCAAGGAGCAGAGACCAGGCTCCTGGGAAGCAGACCGAACCCAAGGCCTGCAGCAGGCGGCACTGCTGTGTGAGCCCCTCAGTGGCGTCACTGTGTCCCTGCCATGGCCCCAGGCAGGCAGGCAGACTGGGGGCTGCTTATCAGGTCACTACACATCTGCTCTCTAGCATAGGCACAAATGCTTCTCCCAGGTCACCGTCCACACCCTCCTCCTGGGCCCACACCTCCTGCCCAAGGAAAGGGCGAGGAGAGAGGTGGCGGCAGTACCTTAATCCCGTCCACTGGGTTATGGATAACGGTGGTTTGAGGCTCCTATAGAGGGCGGCAGACAGAGGAAGGAAAGAAAGAGAGGGAGAGTGAGAAAGAAGGAAGCAGAGGATGGGGAGCCGGGGAGCCAGAGGAGTGGGCAGCGACCAGGGTCTGCCCAGAGAGAGTGGAGCGCAGAGGGACAGGGATGGAGGAGGCAGGCGGTCAGCAAGATGGCCCAGTAGGGATGGAGGCAGCGGGTGGTCAGCAATGGCCCTGGGTGGGGGCAGAGTAGACTCAATATGAGGGGACCAGCAGATCTGCCAGGCCAGAGGCCACGGAAGATGGAGCTCACGGGACCTGAGAGAAACTGTAGGTGTGTGTGGGCTCTGGAAGTTCTCCCCACCTCCTGCCCCAGCAGATGTTGTGGGGGTTGGGGTGGCACATGGGATGGACGGGGTCCAAGGTGGGGCTGGCTGTGAGGCCGGTGTGAGCCACTCCAGGCACCAGGTGAGCGGACGCCTGGCACTCTCCTGCCGTAGCCCCACTGCTCTGAGCGATTCCCAAACTACAGCCAGGATGGATCTCTTCTGTGCTCCCCTAATTTGGCAAAGCCAGATCCTATGGGGAACACCTGCCTGGGGCCTGTGGGGGACACTCAGTGTACTACTTCACACTCCAGACCCATGAGCCACAGCTCAGAAGCTTGATGCCTGAGACCTCAGCTCCACATCCCAGGAACACGATGTTCACCTGAGCAAGTGACCCAGGGCAAGGGGGACAGAGGACAGAGTTGGCCCATTGCCTTCTTAAGGAACAAGAAAGAATCCTCAGCAGGGGTTCCTGAGCTTCCTCCCCTGTAATCCACAGACCAATACGGTATGTGGCTTTGATGAAACAGTCCCAGATGGACGAGCCCACTGTTTCTTCAACCACACGCCCCCCCTCCACACCAACATGGCCCTGCTTCTCCTCTTTAGACTCCAGGGTACAATCCCTGAAGATTCCAGTCTGAGCCCTCTAAGCTACACTGGCCAGCTGTACAAGGAGACAGGGATCCACAGCGCCCCCCCTGTCCCCCCAGGGCATCCTGATGGCCTTTGCTAGAGCTTCTTGAGGTAGAATGGTCCAGAAGTCACTTCCCACTCCAGTTGGGAAGCCAGATCTCTCCCTAGCACCGGGTACCTCAAGGTCCCAGGGAAGGGCTCACCAAGCAGTCTTGCACCTGCCTGATTTGGGGGCACCCTGACTGTGGCTTCTCCTCTTGGGATTCAAACCCCTATTCATGCCAATCTGTCTCCTCGTGGGAGTGATTTGGTCAGAGACAGGCAGTCTCACCAGACCCTGCCTGGCAAGGCCTCTCTGTCAGTGAGCTGAGGCAAGGGCAGGGGCTCAGTACCAGGGCGGCAGGAGGGAGGGATCCTTTGGGGCTGGTGATGGCCGAGCTGTTTTTGGTGCTGTTTGTCTGTGGCTGTGGAGAGAAGGGAGAAGAGTCACTAGGGAAGAAAGGGGACTCTCCCTGCCAGCATCTGTGGAGGAAGGCATGGTCAAGCTTCTCAAACTAGAACCTTGAGGTTAGTGGCAGAGCTGCAGGCTCTGACATCCTCCCCTGTACCCTACAAAGGGCTTAGTTGGTGCCTCACCTTGACTCCATCTGCTTTCTTGTTGAGTAAACTCTTGGCTGCTGCATTGGGAAGGAAGGAGGGATAGTGAGTTCTTAGGGCCTAGGGTCACTGTAGGCCCCTCCCCTCCCCCATCCTCTCCCTTTCTTCAGGAGTGAAGTTCAGGACCTGAGGCCCAGTAGCCTGAGGCCGGAAGCAGATGTGGCCTTGACATCTGACCTGGCCCTAGCAGCAGCAGAACCTCCAGCGGTGCTGAGCCAGGCTGCCCGGGGAGCCTCATCCACGACCACCCTACCCCCAGTAGCTTCAATGATTCTGGAGCTCCTTGCAACGCACTCAAGAGCCTCCTTGTCCTTGCCTATGACTCCTGAAAGGCTGGTAGGATGATCTGCCCCCGCCCCCACCCCCCACTTCCCAGGACGGCGCCAGGTCAGGATTGGTAGGTATTAGGATGCAAAGGGAAAGTCATGCTCAACCTGGCCTTGCCCTCTGCAGCCCTGGGTTCCCACTAGAATGGTGGTGAGCCAAAGCTGGCTGTCACACCAAAGGGCTAGTCCCAGCCCCTGCCCCTCCATCTTCTGATGGACAACAAACTTCAGCACCAGGGCTACACTGCTTGGCCTCCCTGTCCCTCCCCTTGAATGACCCCAGCAACCCTTGGCATGAGACCACTTGGTGGCTGTTACTGTAGCCAACACCGCCCCCTTTGCCCACAAGCCCTGGCAGACACCTGGGCTCAGCAGATGGAACCCTTGGTTCCAACACTGCCCTCAGAGATCAGGATGGCCCTCCCTTTGCCCCCACCCTTCACTCCCAGCACTTAGGTCCTTAGAGCAGAGCTTAGCGTCTTAATTACAGATTTAAAACAAACAAACAAAAAAAAATGGAGAGTGAGAGAGGAAGTCAGCTTACCTTACAGAAAAGGAAAGATGAGGAGAGGAGGGAGTGAGGGAGGAAGAGAGGAAGAGAGAGAAAACAAGATTTGTGTTGGTTCAGAAAGGCCCCACGCGGGGCAGCAAAGCCAGCCTGTCCTGGCCCAGTGTTCCCCAAGAAGAGTCAAGTAGCCATGTGGCCAACACAGCAGGTTAGAGGCAGCCATGGTTGGCACAACATGGGGGCGGTACACAGCCCCTTGTCCCCAGGGCCCTTACCCATAGCATCCCTTACAGCTAGACACTGGCTGACCATACCCAAGCTTCGGCTCTCCTGCCCTCTAGGGGAACCTGTGCTGCCTACAGCAGACTTGGTGGGGACATGGGGGCAGCACATTTAGACCTAGGGCCGTAATCCAATCAAACCCAGTCTTCTGTCGCAGCAGCAATGTCACTGATGTGATCAGAAGCACAAACTTCTCGGCCACACCTTCTCGAGTGAGAACTCTGAAGGGTGTTGTATTTGCCTACGGCTCTGAGGGTGATTCTTTCCAGAGACCAGAACCAGGCCCCACTGCTGCCTGCTGACCACTGTCCTCACCAGTCAGGTGACACAACTTGATTGGGCCCAGGCTCTGTATGCTGGGACACGGGGACATGGCTACCTGAGGCCGCTGCTGTGGTGCACACTGGTTTCTGACAGCCTTCCCTCTCAGAGTTTTAGGTACTTGTCTCAAAAAGTTCTGCTACAAGCAGGTCTCTCTGAAATGACCCTGCCCTTCACATGTCGTCTTCAGGTCTGGGGTCCCCTAGATCCTAAATCCCAAGGTATCCCCAAGGAGTCTTCCTAGGGCTAGAAATGCTGACTTCTCATATCGCTGCAGAGCAAACTGTGAAGCGCCTCTGGCACTGTGGCTAGACTCTCCCTAGAGTTAAAGACAGGCTGCCGTTTGTTTGCCTGTGGGTGCTGTTCCTTCTCTTCTCCATCTGCCCACATGGCTCATCTCGAGAGACACCAGCATGTCCCGGCAACATGGGCTTTCTTGGCCTGAGCGCTGGCTCTATTGTTAAGGCTGCAGGCAGATAGATATCTGCTCTCTGCTGGAGACAGAATCCTCCCTGGAGCCCAAGGAAGTAAGACAGTCCTGTCTTGAGATGCTTGTGATGGCTCTCTGGGCAGCAAGGGAAGAGGAGCATTTCTAAGATGTGGCCATTTCAACAGGCAGTTTGCAGAAAGCAGGCTTGCCCCTCCCCGCCCTCCCTGGCAGACCATACAGCCAACCCAGCATATCCCCTAGTGGATTCTGAGCTTGAACCAGTGAAGGTCAATATTGGCCTGAGAATCAGTTGTGGTGTCGCGGTACCCCCAGGCATCCTTGAAGGGTTCTCGCAGGAAAAGGCCCTCTGGGAGGGTTAGGCCCTGAGAGACCCCAGCACTGTCCTTGATCTTAGAAGGGTTCCATTGAAGTCTTCAAGTCTATCAAAACGACAGTTTCCAGCTGTGCTATAGGAGATTAAGTTATTTGTGGAAAGCAAACAGTGCTGGTTTGCAGGTGGACGTGCTATACCGCAAACTTGGACATGGGGTGGGGTCGGGGGGAGCCATGTCGATGGCTCGGGCCTAGAGAGCCCAGACGGACATCAGTGCCAGCTCAGCATCCTTCCCACTCCTGGCACCAGGAGCCCATGTGTGCTCCAGACATGGCATGGGTGCATGGCCCAGCCTCACTGACTGCATTAGCCCTCTGCTTCCTGGAGGTCGTCTCTCTCTAGCATTCACATCTGTCCTGGACTAACTACGGCTCACCGCCGCCAGGAACCTGTGCCTACCACTCACACCGCAGTTCAGAAGCAGAGGGGCCACTCTTGGCGGAGGGGGGTCTCGAGTCAAAAGGATTGAGTAGGGGCAGCCGGAGCCAAAAGTGGACTGAACTACCACGGGATTCCAGACGCCTAGAGCTGCGGCTCTTCTGACCTGTGCCTCCAACTCAGGAGGACAGTTTTCAATCCCAGGCCTCAGGTCAAGCAATTACACCCAACCCACAGCCAGCCTGACAGTCACAAGGCACAGATCTGCTCAGTGGGGGAGGGGTGGTGGAAGCCAGATTGCAACACGCTCTATAGCAAGGGTCTTTCTGCTGTCCAAGGGTCTCTGCCACACTGGAATGTCTGACAGAGACATGGAGGAGGGAGACCCCCCAGTGTGTGCCCTTAGTGTGTGGTGGGGCCAATCTAATGGAGTCGATGGGATCTTCATCTCTGCCTCGCCCACTGTCTAGTCACTATGGACAGCCATGCTGAGCTGTTTGCGTGCACTGACCTCCCTCCGGGACAGAGTGACCCTCAGCACCCGGGGCAGAGCCACAACATGCAGGCAGCCTCATGCAAGGTTGCCCTCGCTCACTTGCAGGCAGGCGAGCATTGCAGCAGGAATCTTGGGCAGAGTACGGCTCAGAGGTGACCTGTCTCACACCACTGTCCCCTGGCAACAGGGCCTCCCTGGCAGCCACTAGCGTCATCTTTTTTTATTTATATATATATAATATATCTATATCTATCTATATATAATAAATCTAGCTCCTCATGGGCTTCAGAAAGGCTATAAAATAGACTCGGGACCATCCATGCTGGACCCGGATGGGCAGAACAGACCCCTCCTAGGATGGACAACTTGAGCATACCTCAGGAGAAGGACCTGGGAATTGTGAGGTAGATTCAGGCAGGTCTGTGGAAAGGGCTGGGACCTCAGGCTGTGAAACCTGCACCCTGCCCTCTGCCCACATTTGAGGCCATTGGGGAAACTGAAGCTTGGCTGAGCCTGTGTGCTGCTCTAATGTACTAGCACTCAGTGTGGATGTTGGCTGTGGAGCCCAGGAGGAGGCCTCGGGGTTACTTAGTTCTCAGAGGGTCCCACACCATCCAAAGGAACAGGTTGTCAGAGGCCACCTCCTCCCTCAGGGAGTATGGGATGAAGTAAGAAGGGACTTCAGAAGGGAACCTCCGTCCCCAGACACTGACACTATCCCCACATTCACTCTGGGGAACTCAGGAGCACAGACCATCAGATCCATCTGTCCCAGGGGAAGAACGGACCTTGAGCCCTACAGCTCCTTGGGACTTCCTTACCTCCCTAACCCTGATCTAAGGGCTCCCCTCCCAGGACTGAGACCCTCCAGCAGCAGGTCAGGGTCATTCTGAATTGGGTCTCCAGACTCCCAGAGGCCAGGACCTGAGGGTCTCAGCCAAATGCATCTTGGGTTTGATGTGGCCTCTCTTTTTCTAGAGAGACAGGAGCACGGGGCAGCCGTATTGCCCAGGGTGGGGCCTCTCCTGGGAAGTGACTGTGGCAGGAGCAGAGCTCCCGGGGGCTGACAGCCTCTTGGGGAGGCTTTGGGGGCCTGGCCAGTGGCTGCGTGCAGCAGGGGGGCTGCATGCCAACAGGAGGGATGGGCAGGAGCAGGTGGACACTGGGCAAGACACATCTACCTTGTTCCACCAGCCCCATGGTGGTGCCGGAGGCCGCGGTGGACATTGTGGCCGGAGCGGTGGTCTGTCTGCCCACTGTTAGCACCAGGTTAGAGACGAGGGGGGAAGGGGGCGGACACAGACGGGGTGGGGCGAGGTGAGGAAAGAGAAGAGACAAAGGAAGCAGAAGAAGATTAGAGTTAAAGTTTAGGTGGGGGATGGCTCCAGAATCCCTTTCTCAGGAGAGTGAAACAAGATTGGGCCGATAGACACTGAAAAGCGTTTGCCTCCTTTCTCCTTAGAACACCCCAGTGGGGCTTCTTGTGCCCGGTGGGGCATGCGGGGCACACAGCAGACAGGACAGTCCCATTAGTGTTGGTGTGACCATGTGCCCATTCCTGGTAGGACAGCATCACAGCAAAGTAACAGGAGGCAGGGTACCAGATGCAGACGGACAAGGAGAGACGACCATGAACGCTCGCACACTTAGTGTCAGACGACGGAGAAGCCACAGACATAGCTGTCCGGGCACTAGGGCCAACAATGTCTCCCCAGGTGGGCCCCATGGGTCTCTAACAGACCCTTGAGACTTCATTTTCCCATCACCCACCCAGAACAACCAGGGCAGGTGGCCTACCCAGAACTGACCAAGTTTCCCTGAGCACAGACCTCACTCAATCTCGCCCACCCGCCTTCAGTTATCTCCCACACACAACATGATGCTTCAAGTGCCGAGGACACGGAGGCCACAGGGCTGCCCAACAGACGCTTGGACGGATGCAGGTGGCAGGCCAGGTGTTGGCAGCACAGACACTGGGGCGTCAGGTGAGGGACACAGACCCAACAACACGGAGGAGGCGGGACTGGGGCACAGCAGACCTCAGGAGCTACCCAGTGAGGGAAGCCAAAAGGACTTCTTGGAAGTGGGTCTTAGAGGTGAGGACGGAAGTTGGGCCCCACCAGCCTGGAGGAATGGGACTGGAGGCTGGTGAGGAAGGAAAGGGCTTTCTGTAGAATGAGGGCAGCATGGAAACACGTCCTCCCTGGAGAAGAATGTCTCACCTGAGAAATTCCGTGTGGCCAACATAGTGGTGAGGATGGCTCCCTAAGAAGAAACAGAGCCAGGGTCAGGGTCAACCTGTTAGTGTCTGTAGCCTGCTGGCTTCTAGCAAGAAGATCTTGTGTGTACACACACACACACACACACCAGCTCAGACTTCTGCAGAAGTAAGAGTTCTAGAACCTAGACGCTGCACTGAGACAAGTCATGTCCACAGTTAAAGTTCACACTACCCACAAATCATAGCATCAGACTCCTGAGAAACAGGCATGACCAGGAATGCCGGCCACCATGACAGTTCCTCTGGTCCAGGCAGTCAGAGGTATCCTCGGGACCTTGGGGAAACTCCAACAATGGTTCACAGGCCTAGCCCTGGTCTTGACTAGACAGCAACCATCAGAGTCAGCCCTGCTACCTGCCTCCTCAGCCTGCCGGGCCCAGCAGGATGCTTCTTCAGCTCTGCCTTTTACAAAACCTGCTCTGGGCCAGTACTGTCCTCAGGATGCTGAAGTGGCCAGCCCTGCACCCAGGTAAAGCTCTGACCCTGACTTGCACAGACAAGTCTGGAATCCTCGGATCTGGACTTGGAAGCAGGCGTAGATTTGGGGGCTCCTCCTTCCTCCTTGTCTCCAGATCCCACTGACACTCCCGCTGCAGTATGGGGCCCACTGGGACATGTGGACACGAGGATCGGGGAAGAGCCACACCTACCTTGAGCTTCCTCCTGGCATTGAACTTCTTCAGGCATTCCACAGTCTCCTGTCTGTGCATCATAGAGGCCACCGTGGAGCGTTGCTATCGGGGAAAAGGGAAGTCGTGGGACAGTGAGGAGCAGGCTTAGGAGACATGGTCAGGGTAGGGGCATTTTAGGGCCCCACACACTGAGTACTGCCAGTCGCCATGACAATGGGAGACCACTTGTTCCCACCTGCGGTCCCCAACTTATTTCCAAGTTCAAGTCTTGCCCTTCACAGACCAGGAGGGTGGCCAGACATGAGGAACAGAACCCCAGAGCCATCTTGGGGGCCCTGGATGTGCCCACCAGGAACTGGACCCTAGAGGTTGCCAAGGATGACTTACGCAGACCCATGGATGCTTCAGGGCCTCATGGGCCGTAATGCGTTTGGCAGGGTTGATGGTCAACATCTGGTTGATGAGGTTTTTGGCTTCAGGAGTAACGGTGTCCCACTCAGGGGATGGGAACTACAGGAGGAAGTGTGCACAGGCAAGGCTGAAGCCCCTCCCCAGGCAGAGGCCACGAAGAGGAAGGGAGACCCGGGGCGTGGCAGTCCCCACCCTCCACACTGGCACACTCACGTCATAGGCCCCAGCCTTGATCTGCTGGTATAGCTTGTGCTGGTCCTCATCCCAGAAAGGTGGGTAGCCCACCAGCAGGATGTACAGGATCACCCCTGTGGATGGGGAGGTGAGCAGCATAGCCCTGGAGGGCACCAGGGTCAGTCCTCGGTGTCCCTTTGCCCGCCCCATGCCATGGGGAGCATGGCGCTAACAGCCTGTAATTCCTGCTCCATCTCCACCCTACTTCACTGGGGAGCCTGGCCAGTCCCCTCTGTTGTATGCCCACCAGAAAGAGAAGATCCCACCTAAGGAGCCTGTGGTCTGACAGCCCCTGGTCCCTGTATCCTGGTGTCCACTTGCTCTGGACACAGACCTATAATGAGCACAGGCAGACAAACAATGGCCTGGGGCAGGCACACTGGTAATTCTAGTCAGGGTGTGAGATCCCTGCCAAGGCAGCCCCAAATGCAGGTGTGACACACACGACCGGTTCACAGCAGGGTAAGCTGGCCCTCTGCACACGCTGGGACAGAGGGAGTAAGCCCTGAGATACACGGCCCCACGGTCATCATGCACCCCGACCACCTCTCACACACAGGTCTTACCACATGCCCAGATGTCCACAGGCTTGCCGTACGCCTCCTTCCGAAGGACCTCGGGGGACAGGTAGCCCGGCGTTCCCGCAAATCCTATCAGAGGGGAAGGGACCATGAAGGGTCATGAGGGGCTGCCAGGACCCCCTGCCCATCCCCTGACACTCACCAAACCACGCCTGCTGGTCTCCCTGCACCTCGATGGCCAGGCCGAAGTCTGCCAGTTTCACTGCGGCCCCTTTGCATTTGCTGGCCAGAAGCAGGTTCTCAGGCTACAGGGAGACAGCCGTCAGGGCAGTGTTCACACCGCAAGCAGTTGTGGGGGGCAGGGGACAAAACAGAGGTGGCAGCAGTTGGCTGGACAGAGAGGCATAGCCTGCTTCCCAACATGGGTGTCCCTGGGCACAACTGAGTCCTAGACCTATATGCTATACTCGATTCCTCTCTGGGGACAAGGACAGCCATCTTAGTCATTCAAAAGGAGTTGGCTCTCATCTTGAACTTGGGTATCCTGCTTCCTAAAATGGGAATAAAACACGTAGGTCACCCTCACGAACAACCACACCAGGTTCCACTGCTGGGCTACAGGGCTACCCCACTGACAGAGGGCCGATCCTGTCCCTCATGTTTCAGACATGGTGGAGAGTTCAAGATTTTGGGCAGTAGCCTTCAGAGGACATAGAAGAACACCCAGGGTCTACAATGCCTGGGTCAGTCCAGGGCATCTACCTGCCAGCCACAGCCTGTTCACCAAGTCCCACCCAGCTCCAGCCAGCACTATCACACAGGATAGAAAGGAGGCATGGGCCGCTAGGTTGGCTGCATCCACAGGTGGGAAAAGCTTCCTTAAGGAGAAGCATCCTTGCTTCAGCTCGAGGGCATTTGTTTCATCCTGAAGAAGCGACCAGAGAGACTGTTGTCTCTGGGTTGTTGATCTGAGAGACTTTCCTGCTACTGCTTTTCCTGGCCTTTCTGGCCAGCCTCCACTCACAGTAGCATCCTGGCTTGTCCCTCCTGTCTCTGCAGCTGCATGAGCTCCCCAGGAGCAGGTCTCTGGATGTCAGTTCTCAGAGCTCAGCAGAATGCTCCTGGCTCCTGACCACCAGGGGACTCCTCAGCCCTCAGGTTCCCTTGGCAAACTCATAGGCACCCTCAACATTCCACAGAGGCATGCCAATCCTGGGATCATACTGCAGCCAGACCACACACTGCCACATGGCCTGCTTTCGTTTTCTGTCTCAGAGACTTTACATGGCATAATGGTGGCTCTTGGAATTGAAGTGGGACCACCCTATACAGAAGGATGTGGGCTTCCTGAGTTGGGTGCTCTGGGCCTATGCGCAGACGGGAGCTCTAGCGGTGGATGCAGAGTTGGCAAGCCCAAAGCTACAGTCCTCCTAGAACTCCCTCCCCCCGGTGATAAGCAGGGGTCAGGCTCAGCCTTGCCCGTTTTGATTTTGCCATTGTGAACATGGCAGGGGCCCCAAGCTTCACTCTGGGACCCCCACCCCTTCCTACAGGGAAATACATAATGGGGCAAGCAGATGGGGGCCCCGAGAAGGTACAAGGCAAGGACATTCAGGACCTTGGAGGGAGGCAGTGGTTGAGTCCTAGAGGCTGGCTTCTGCATAGCCACCATGGAGACACAGTGGCTAACCATGCTCTCTCCTGCCTTGAGCGACTGTGTAACATCAACCTATTGTGCCATTTGTGGGTCTGCCTCATCAAGACGGTGGGATTTCTCTCTGGGAAAGGAGGGACAGTATATCCTCTCCACAGGAAGATCTTGTTGGTCCAGGACTGCAGACATGAGGGGACACGTACGTCCTCGTCTATGCTTCAGCCCCAGCATTCACTCTCTGGGAAAGGAGTGGCTGCACCTCATAAAATGGGGGGCATGTGCCACCATCTCAGGGGCCTTGTTCCAGTTAAGACAGAGAGGACCCTCAAGAAAGCAAGGACACAGGGAGAGATGCAGGGAACATCAGGAACATCCCGGGTCTACTGTGTGTGACACTCTCCTCAGAACAGCTGCAAATGTTGGCCCCTGCCTGTGGCCTAAGGAAGGAGTGACCACACCAGTCCACACCAATGCTGAGTGTAGACTGGCATCTACACTGTCCCCAAACAGGTGGACTTAGCAAGAGGCTGAACCAGGCCTTGGGAAAAGAGATTCTAGGAAAGAAAGGGGGAGGGAGAAAGAGAGGAAAGAGAGGGGCTTCTGAGAGTTTGTAGTCAATTATTTTCTTTTCATAAGGCAGGGTCTCATGCAGACCTGGCTGGTCTCAAACTTGCTATGTAGCCTAGGATAGCCTTGAACTCCTAAGTTTCTTGCCTCAGTCTTCTGGGCACTGGAATTAAAGGGATGAGCCATGACATCCAGCTACAAATTTTCTTTTGAACAGAGCCTAGAGCCCATAGTCTAGCCATGGACAGTAGAGAATTGGAGAGAAGATCTGAGAGGAGCTGGCCAAGCTGGACTAAGCTACTCTCGTCACCTCTCTCTGGTCACATGTGTCCCCACCCTCGAGAGTCGTATCTTGGTAGATGATTAGAAAGTGAGAGTCTGAGTATACGTCTGTTAACAGGATGGTTCTAGAAGGCTGGATCCTCCAGCAATAGAGGCACTGGGGTGTAAGTGTGCAGCTACTTCTCACATATATGCACACGCATGCATGCACACACCCAGTTACTGATATACACATGCACCCATGCCTCGGTGTACACATGTATGATGTGGCCCTGTATGGAGACAGACACACATGCACTCACACTGCTTCATGCGAGCATACAGTATGCACACACATCTTCCCCACCCCACCTCCCTCTTACTCCACACCTCCTTTCACACAGTTTGTAGGTGTGGAGAACAGAACCTATCACAGAGCAGGGTAGAGACTCACCTTGAGGTCTCTGTGGACGACCCCCATTTGGTGACAATGGAGAACAGCCTCCAGGATCTGCTGGATGCAGTGACTATGGCAAACAGCAGGCAAGTTAGTCGAATGGTCTGGGGGTGGCAGGAAGGGAGCAGCAACAGGAAGCATGGGGAAAGGCAGGCTGTGGAGCACTGGGGTTCAATCCCCAGCCTGGGGGAGCAAGGAGGATGTAGGGAATCGTGGGGAAAGGCGATGCTAACCACAAGGGAGAGGAGAAATCCTTGCTCAGCCTCAAGGGCAGCCATTCTAGTCCTTGCTCTGCCTCTTCTTCTGGGCCCAGGTTTGCTTAAGTCCAAACCAGATCCACAGAACTAACTCTGAAGGGAAAGGCTCTGGTGTGCAGCTTACCCCTTTAAGGCTGAGATAGGCTAGGCTGACCCTAAGCTGTGGGCAGGGATGCCAGCAGTAAGTGAGCACCGTGGACTAGAGAGTCCAGAAACTAAGGTGAGGAAGGGTGGAGCAGGTAGGAGCATGGGTGCTGTGGTACGGAGATGAGCTTGTCTGCTTCAGGGTAGAGACGATGCATTAGTGTGTGCTCCTTTGTTGGCACCTGGACATCCATCAGCCAGCCCAGCTCAATTCACGTGAGGACATCTAGCTCTGTTTCCAGGAACCATTGTGCAGGGTGTCTCTCTAGCCAGGGGACAGCTTGAGCACAGGTGTCCCCTCTATTCCAGCTCTCTCCTAGTTAGTGACATCTTTCAATGTCAGCCTCAGACTCTTCCTGTCCGTCCACACATCAGACTCTGGGCCACCAGTGCATGTACACAGAAGCTCTGTAGCCTGTGCTCAACAGCCTCCAGTCCCCGTAGTCCCTGGAGCTAGGCACAAGGTCCATGGGCTCCTACCCTCGAGACAGCGGAGTGACCAAAAGTTGGCTTGCCTGGGGTAATGGAGCACAGCCTTCTCAAACAGCCTTCTCAAACAGCGCCCCTCCCCTCGAGTCTGGCCGTATGTGGAGAAGGCCAGCACTGTGCTGAAAATTCATTTAATTTTTCTATCCCGTGGCGCTCACTCCTGACATCCTAATGGGTAGGAACCTGAGGTTTCTGAGTTCGGAAAGAGCCATGTCCACTAGGTGGGAGGCAGCCTCTGTAATGTTGTGGGCCAGAGCTGGTACCTTCCTCAGTGAGCTTCCTCTAGCTCGGCCTCTCAAGAGATTCTTGAAGTCCCCTCTAGCTCGGCCTCTCAAGAGATTCTTGAAGTCCAGTCCAGGCTCTAGGCCAGTCCCTGTGGCCTACCGTCCATGACGGTATGATCAGTATATGTGTAGTAGTGCACACTGTCCTACCCTCCTGTCCCCCGAGGCACCCTTCCTGATGGTACTGGGTCCCCTGCAAAGGCACCAGAGACCTCTTGAGGTGCCCAGAGACACTAGCCCTGCTGCTGGGCTCGTGATCTTCCCTTTCTGACATAGTCCAGATCTCACACAGGTGGAGGCACCTGCCAGACTTCACAATCACCTGAGAGGGTCACTAGCACCCAGAAACAAGCTGGCCAGCAAGCCAAGGCTCTCCAGAAGAATGTGGTACCAAGATGCATGAGGGAAAGTAGCAGACTACTCATGAATGGCCACACAGGGAACTCTCTTTAGGGACCTTTCCTCAAGTGGTTTTGGCCTGACTGCTAGATCCATCGCCAAGCAAAGCCAATACTTTTCCTAATGTTTTGATCCATTTAGAAGTCACTCTGTGGCCAGAATTTTGGACACTGGCCAGGTTCTGGCCATGGTTCTGTCTTGGACCTAGTCAGCAGCACAGAAGCTGGGCCACTGTGTCTGACCTCTGAGACCTGCAAGAATCAGTCTCAAAAGTCTTGGAACTTTGTTTTCCTTGTTTTGCAAAAAGACTTGGTCACCTCTAAGTTTCCCCTACAAGCTCCAGAATATAAGCCCCACGGTACTCTGAAAGGAACCTCCAGCATCCTTGGATAGAAAGTGTTTCAGAAAAGCCACTCTTGTCTGCTTCCTGCTCTGGACATCAGGAACCTGCCTCCCCTACATCTGGCCAGAGATGTCGGTCCATCTCCCCGGTGCTCTTTCTCTCAACCTGGACACACGTTCTACCCTAATCGGTGCTGGAATCCAACCTGGGGTGAGTCACTGGCTGCAGGGTAACAATCACATGGCCGGCCTAAACAGACTCCGCTAGGCACCAGAGTCTGAGGCAGAAGCATAAAGGTCCAGTCAGAAGACCGCCAGAGACCTGAGTCCCAGCTGTGTGTTCTCCTTCGGTGCAGGGAGCAGCCCAGTGAGAAAGAAAAGCCTGGGCCGCAGAGGAACCGCCCTGTAGACACTGGGGCCGGCATACAAGTGGGGTGCAGACTCTCCATGGGGATTCCTTGAGTGTTTGCCTCTCTTCTCAGGACTCAGGTTACCCACCCTTCCTCACAGCCTGGTCTACAAAGTGTGTCCCTTCCCTTGGATTCCCACATCCCAGAGAGACAGAGCTCTGTGAAGAGCTGGGTGGTGAGACAGAGTCCATGTCTTCTGGATCAGGGCTAGGTCCAGGAAACCTTAAACACTTGAGACACTCTCCACATAGGGTTTCCCCGGGAAGCAGTAAGGATTCCTGTCCTCTGAGGAGGAATGGAGGTGCCTGGCAAGGGCACAGAGCACAACCCTCTCCCAGACAGGTGCCTATGACCTGAACAGCCCAAGAACTTGGGAACTCTCAGCCACTCCTGGACTTGAGCCCTTCTGGACCCAGCAGACCTTGGACAGGGTTGTCCCCTATTCCTCCATCCCCTTTAGCAAGAAGTCTAGGGGTCCAGCAGTTCTGCTACAGGCCAGGTGCCTTAGAGACACCAGAAGGCGCTGTGAACCAATCAGAGATAGGCTGAGGCTGGGCCTCTGACCTCAATGGTAGAAGCCGGTCTCAGGTTAGAGGACAAGGCTTACAGGGACACCTCTCCCCATCCCCCGCACTCCCCCTACATGGATGGAGGGGGGCAAGGGCTGGAGAGAAAGAGTGTTAGACACCCCAGCATGTTCTTGAAAGGCCTGTGACATCCCAGCTTACTGACACTTCTTACCAGCACTTTAGGTCAGAGAAAAGGGGCTCCCCTCCACCTTCTGTTTCTCTCATAAGTAGAATATAAGGGAAAATTTTACTTTCCTCCAGTCCACAGGACAGACCTCTTCTAGAATATTTTTCAAAACACAATGTTTTTCCTGAGGGAGCCTTCAGAAGGACGCAGCAGCACCCTTAGTCTCCTCACACTGAGAACTGGGGCCACAGGCCTGTCCCACCCTGCCCTTCTCTGTGGCTTGGCCTGTGCCGCCTGGCTCCACGGGGAAGACCTAAGAGGCCATGATGACCCAGGATTCTCACGGCTTCCTACAGGGACTCGGGGCCCGGGGTGAAAAGCAAGGATGCCTGCTAGCGCAGACCAAGTCACAGAAAGCTCCTGTAAAAATAATATTCATTTTTCTCAATTAGAGATGTAATACATATTCATTAAAGACGAGCTTTAAAAGAGACAAGATAAAAAATTTAAAACCACCCATAACTCGACTGCTCGGAATGGACCCTTTTCTTTTTGAAATGCATATCTATCTCTGGGGCCAGGCAAAGGCGGGCAGGGCCCACGGGCAGGGGTGACAATCTGCAGATACCTCAGGGACACAATACAGTCTGGGTAGCATCTGATGTGGACCCCAGGAACCCATCCAGAGGCCACAGATAACACCCTGCCTTCTGGACCCCAGCAGCCATGTCATAAACAGCCATCTCTGGGTCATCACCCTTCTTCACTGCCCCGCAAAGACTGGCCTGGAGAAAGGCTGTTTCCTCAAATATCCACGAGGAATACAGGCCTGGGTGGAATCCATGTACCTCCACTCACCTGCACACCAGAGGCCCATAGGTCCTGGATGGGAGAGCACAGGGCCCTGTACTAACACTAAGGCTTTAGGTCTCCCCTGACCTCTTCCATTGCCCTGGCGTGCGGTGAGTAGGAGACCAGGAGCTCCGAGAGGAGCTTTCTCTACGGCACCTTTTCCAATGGCACCACTAGTACTCTCTTGGGATCATGCTGGCGGGAGGATGTCATGGATAGAGACTGGGTCCTGGCCTGTCTTTCGTAGGAAACCACGTGGACATGCTTATCTGTGAGGCCAGTGGACTGTGGATGGGATGTCCAAGAGCAAAGCGGGAGGATGTCCAGGGCTCCTCCCCCGTAAGCCACCACAAGAAGAGGACCCCCTAATGTGCATGTCCACTGCTTCCCCTCCGGCCACACCTCTGTGCAGCTGGCCTTGCTCCTGCCTCTTGCTCAGAGTTCCCAGTTAGCCCTAGACCTGCTAACACTTCTGCTCAGTTGACCTCTGAGGGGCCATGGGAATGACATGGGACAAATGTGGGTTACAGGAAGTGCAGGGGTGGGGCTCAGAGAGGACGGAGCTGGAGGTCAGGAGAGGGGAGCATGGTGCGGAGCTCTGGACGCACCTGGCATCTGCTTCACTGTAGTACTCTCGTGCCACGATGTCCTCAAAGAGTTCCCCACCAGTGACCCTACAAGGAAAGCACATGGTCGTGGACCTGGAGATCCTCATCACCATCATACCCGCATCGCTGCCAGCACCATCCTCGCCCATCACCGCCACCATCACCACCACCACCACCACCACCGCCACCATCACCACCATTGTGACCACTGTCATCACCTGCCACCAGGACCACCATCATTACAGCACCATGGCCATCACTGTCACCACCATCCTCGCCCATCACCGCCACCACCAGCACCACCAGCACCATCACCACCATGTGACCATGTCACCACTGCCACCAGGACCACCATCATTATACCACCATGGCCATCACTGTCACCACCACCATTGTGACCATTGTCACCACTGCCACCAGGACCACCATCATTGCTACCATCATGGCCATCACTGTCATCACCATCACTATCACTACCACAGTCATGACTTCCATCACCACCACCATCACCATTGCCATCATTGCTACCACCTCACCATCACCACTACCAGTACTAGCATCACCATCACCACTATCATCACTGCTACCCCCTCATTGCCACTGCTACCATCACCATCATCATCATCATCATCATCATCACCGCTATCATCACTGCTACCCTCTCATTGCCATTGCTACCATCATCATCATCATCATCATCATCACCACCATCACCGCTGTCATCGTCACTGCTACCCCCTCATTGCCATCGCTCCCGATCACCATCCCCTCCATCCCAGCACACCGACAACTTATCAAGGGCATGCTTGCTCACACCTGATGACATTTAATACTCCTGTCCTCACAGCCATCCCCAGAGAAAACTGAGTTCCTCAGGTCTAAGTGGTCTCCCCAGAGTAGGCAGCAGGGGTTTGAGCCAGGTTTGGTTTCTCCACTTCAATACTCTCCCATTCCGGGCCAGATTGGAGGCCTCGGCTGTGGTGAGAGGTCCAGAGGGTACAGTGCTTGACTCTGGCCTCCACAGTGCGCTGAGGGCCTGAGGTGCCTGAGTTCCTGTCTCCGTGAGACCACAGATGACAGAGGTAGTTACTCTGCCCACACACCCTCCTCTCCTTTGTCTGTCTCCAGCCAGCCAATGCCCACCCTGAAGTGGAAAAAGCAGCACCGTGAGTGTGTAGTTTGCACACATGTGCAGCAGAAGAGTCAGGTTCAAGGGCAGCCCAGGGAAGGAGTTGCTATCCCCAGCACTGGGTGATTGATTGCTAGAGTCTCAGCAAAAAATATTCTTAAACCAGATTTTGCGAAGTCAAGTCTGGGCAGACAAAATGGCATAAAGTCTTGGTGCAGAGCTGTAGCTCAAAAGATGCCCTGGGAGGTGCCAGAGCTGCACCAGGCCCAGGCCCCATGAGGTACCTTGAGTGTTCAGGAAGTTACATTTTGGTGAGTGGGTGCCAGGGCCATTTCCTGGTACAGAGTCTCAGGGCAGGGAGTTGGGCATCTACTGAGCTGGCAGCTGTAGGAGATTGGAATCACTGCTGGGATCCTTGCCCTGTAGCTTCTGTTCCCAGGCCTGGTATGTACATTCATCTCCCAGGCCCGTGTGTACACAGTCATCTCCCAGGCCCGTGTGTACATTCATCTCCCAGGCCTGTGTGTACATTCATCTCCCAGGCCCGTGTGTACATTCATCTCCCAGGCCCGTGTGTACATTCATCTCCCAGACCCAGTGTGTACCAGTCATCTCCCAGGCCCAGTGTACACATTCATCTCCCAGATCCAGTGTGTACACAACAATCATCTCCCAGGCCCCATGTGTACCAGTCACCTCCCAGGCCCCGTGTGCACAGTCACCTCCCGGGCCCCGTGTGCACAGTCACCTCCCAGGCCCCGTGTGTGCATAGTCGCCTCCCAGGCCCCGTGTGCACAGTCACCTCCCAGGCCCCGTGTGTACCAGTCACCTCCCAGGCCCCATGTGTACCAGTCACCTCCCAGGCCCGTGCACCAGTCACCTCCCAGAACCTGCAGAGCTCCAAGTTAATAAGGCCTCAGAGCCTGCTGGGGCGCTACTAGACCACCTCAGAACCCATCACACTGGAGGCTCCAGAGGTATGGAAGAAGGATATTTAGGCCTCTGTCCAGACCCATCCTCAGTCTCCCTGTGGCTGCCTGCCTGGCATATCTTGGGAGGTCTGAGAGATAAATGTGTCATACACACACACACACATATATCCCTTCCCCCCGTTCTCTTTCCTCCTCAGCTCCTGCAATAATTGTAGCCATCTGTTGGCCACCAGGGACCCTGGACAGGACCACCCTCAGTCCGCAGCCTCGGTCTTTGAAGAAGAGAGGGTGGTAAAAGTGGTTCTTGGGCACACAGGGGAAACAAGTGACCCCGTCCACCTCAGGCCATGGGACTGGTGTCTCAGGGCACAGATTCAGGCAGACTGTAGTGTTATCTAGCTGATAATTCTAGGCAGGGTCTTGTGGAACACACAGAGGTTATCTGAGAAATAACCAAACTCCACGAAGGGGCAGCCTAGCTTCTTCACCAGAAGACCCTACAGGGACAGAGGACGCTAAGGCCTGCTTGCCCAACAGCCTGGACATCTGTCACCTGAGGGAGGAAGAGCAGAGAAGTAGGCCTAGGAAGGCACTTCCTATTCCCATTCAGCCTGTTGCTCAAGGGCAGCCAGAGGGCATGCAGTAACCATGGTAACAGCACCAGATCCAGGCTCTCCTGGTTGTGCAGTCTGGGGCCACCAGGGCAGGCCAAAGCCCCTGGGCCCCCACCCAGCCCAGGGTCCCGAAGCAGCCCTGATTCACGGACAGCTAAATATAGAGCTGCTTAGCAGAAGCTGTCAGGAGTAAGGGAGATGAGATCATCGCTTCTAAATCCGGCAGGAAGTGAGAGGCGGAGTTGGCCCCAAACGCCTTCTCACTCAGCTACTGCACACACTCTCATGCAAACACACTTACATGCTCACACACACATATGCACACACACACACACACACACACACACACACACACACCTGTATCCCCAAACCACACACAGGTTCACACTCATAAAACAGACATCATGCATGTACACCCATGAACCCTTACACAAATCAGCTCAGTACTTACGCTCTCTCCCAAGCTCAGGTATCATCATACATGTGTGTATACATACATACATCCTTTCACTCATGCTGAAACACACATGCTCGTGCCAGCCAGCTGTGCCTGGCGTGACAGGACTTGCAGCCGTAAGGTCTCAGAAGGGAGGAAGGGGCGTGGGCACTGACTGTTCTCTGTGGTCTCCCCTCCACTGCCCCCACCTCCCAGCTTTCTGCGTGATGACCTCAGCACGTCAGACACAGACTTATGGGTAAAAACCTGCGCATAGCCAAGTCAGAGGTGGGCAAGCTGGATATGTCTGGAATGAGGTAACGCCCTGCAGAAGTGCACTCAAGGAGTGGCCTGATGTGGGGACAGAACTCTTCCTGAATCTGAGGAGGCTAAGGGCCCCATGCTGGGAGTGACAGAGGGCGAGGGGTCCTTGGCTCTGGCACTTACAGATCGAAGACCAGGTAGTGGAAGCCTTCTTCAGAGATGCTGTCGTGGAGGCGTACTGCAGGGACAGAGAAGTCATGAGGAGCTGGAAGTAGACCAGGATAGACCCCCGTGCCCACCTCCACCCTGTCTGGGTCCACATCAGCATCAGCGGTGCAAGTCCTGGGTGAGGGAGCTCCTCTCTGGGACTGACGGGGTCTCCCCCAAGACAAGAAGGCTGACTGGGACTTGGGGAGCTACAAGCTGGCCTTAGGTGCTGCAGGCCGAACCTGAAGGAACGCCACAGAGCTGTGGGCAGCACCTGGCCCTTTCACCTGGCTTCTCTCTGCTCTCCTGTTTCCAACCCTATCAGAGGAAAACAGGAAACACACGGCTGCTGAGCCCCTGACAGAAACCACACCATCATAGGAGAGGGTTCTGCAGGAAACAAACCCATTATTCATTCTGGACCCTAAGACTGGCTCAGCAGGACAAAGACTAGGCTTGGCAGAAGGCTTCTTCTGAGTGGGGTAGCGCTTAAGGCTCAGACCTTAACTTGTGATTCTCTTTGGCCAGCGGGGCCTGTTTCCTTCCCTCGGGTCCCGTTTCTACACTCCTGTGAACTTGTATTCAGGTTCTCTCCTGGTTCCTGCTGGGCAGGGGTTGGCAGGCTGTGAGGAATGAGGAACTCAGGAGCACTGAGGAAGGAGCGAGGGAGCTGCACTCTGCACCAAGCAGGAAGGATTCTCTAGGAAAGAGTCCCTTTGGACCCTGCTCGCCCATGTGCAGATTCGCCCCTTTGCTAGACCAGCACTGGATGCCAGTTTACCTACCACCCCTCCAGGCTGCAGACAAGGGGGCAGCGGCAGAGTCTGGCTAATCACCTGAGGGTACACAGCCCACGGAGGGTGAAGTGGGGCTGTGGGATCAAGGGTCTGGCTATGGTGAGCGCATAGTGTGCCCTGGTCTGTGTGCTCTTGGGATCTCTAAGTCTCCCACCACCCAAGACTGGGCCACGAGGCTGGAGGGCGAAGAGCGGCCACCTTCTCCCTGGTCCCACAGGGCTCCAGGACCTCAGACAAAAACAGCCCACACACTTCCTGCTCCTGGCACCCTCCCCCACTGTCCTAGTTTCTAGCTGGCTGCTAGCACCTTCTTGTGGGTGCTGGTTCTCCCAGGCACCATCCTGATAGTGTCCTTACGTCTAGGAGCTCTGATGTTGCCTTGCTCCCCAGCCTTGGCCCAGCGCCTTGGCCCCATGGGATCCTTCACCTTGTGTCTACCTTTGAGAGCACACCAGGCCCTCCAGAGTCAGGAAACAGACGGATTCTCTCTGTGGCCTGTGTGAATTGGGAGGGACCCCCCAGTCACCCTCCCAGTCACCCGAGCCTCAGTCTGCAGCTCTGTAAAGTGGGAGGAAGTCACACCTGCCGGTAGGTATGCGCTTACATGAAGCAGTGGGTGTTCCTTGGGTCTGCCATTATTGCCACTGTCATATGGGTATAACCCAGATGACTGAGACTCCAAGTCTGGAGCCACTTAGGGACCTGGACTGCTTTCTAAAGCCCATAGCAGTGGCCTGGCAGCAGCCACAACAGACATTTCTTCCTCCATTTCCCAGCTCTAAGATCGGCAGCAAAGCTTCCCCCACCCCACCCGACCCAACCCATCCCCTGGGACCCACATCCTTGTCAGCTCTCTGGGCCATCAGAGACCCTCAGTGAGGACAGATACATTCTACTTGGCCCCCTACACCCTTTTTCTAACCGGACCTCCATTCTGTCCAGGCTGACCTGTGTCTCCCTAAGATGAGTCCCTGGTGCCTGCTGGCACCCTCCTTCCAGGACCTGCCAACAAAATTCCTCGAGATTGAGCTCAAAATGCACATTCGCCTGGCTCCTTCCTAGTGGGGGTCATCGGGGTGGCCTGTCTGAGATGCCCCAGCTGCCTCACTCCGGGACACACCACTCTGAGCAGAGCAGGCTCCGGCAGTCACAGGAGAGCTTTCTTCCCTGTATCCCCGAGGATGTTGCCCTAGAGAAGGTCCAGTTGGGTCCCTGGAGTGTATAGAGGTTTGAATAGGAATGGCCTCCATAGGTCCACAGGGAGCGGCACTATTAGGAGGCGTGGCTTCACTGGAGGAGGCGTGGTTTCACTGGAGGAGGCGTGGCTTTGCTGCAGGAAGTGTGTCACTAGAGGGCGGGCTTTGAGGTCTCAGACACTCAAACCAGTTCTCTGCCTGCTGCCCCAGGAACCTGATGTAGAACATGGCTCCTTCTCCAGCACCATGTCTGCCCGCATGCCGCCGTACTTCCTGCCATGACGACAACGGACTGTAAGCCAGCCCCAATTAAATGTTTTCCTTTGTAAGAGTTGCCGTGGTCATGGTGTCTCTTCAGAGCAATAAAACCTTAAGACAGGGTTGCTTCATTGCCCACTAGGTCCCCCAGGAAAGGCCTGTTGGTGGGACTGCCTGTCCTCAGTCACCCGCTTAGAGACCGAAGAGGCTTGGCCGAGTGGGTCCCATCTCCTTTCTAGGACACAGGTTTCTTCTGCAGAAGGAGCTACAGGGCCCTGTGTGTGTGGAACTAAGGGAGTAGGGATGTGGACACCATTTTTAAGAACAGGTGCTTATTTTAATAGCTTAGAATAAACCCTAATCAGCACATCAGATCTGTGACTTCACAGAAGAGGCTACGGAAGAACTGAACTCTGACAAAATCTCTTTAAGAACAGAAAGTAAATGGCACTTGGCTGACTGGGACACAGAGCTGGTGACGGGTAAGTCCACCGCGGCTTCTTGCCAGGCCAGCCAGGAGGGTGTAGGTCAGGCAAGCAGCGGCAAATCTCACCCGGAGCGAACACACCCACCTCAGTCTCCCAGGGGAGGGGAATGCAGAAGTATGGTGGTTCCTTTGCCTGTTCCACTGCGGGCTTCCTGCTGCTGGGACTCCTTTCCCTTCTGCTGAGCAGAGCTCGAGGGCCCAGACCCCTAAGTTCAGCTGGAGTCACGGTTTGTGAGGGCAAAGAAGTTCTGGGTGCCCAAACACTGGAGGACTTGGGGGTCCTTCTGCTCATGTGCCCCTGACCCGCAGTGGCACTGCAGGTGAGCATGTGACGTCAGTGGTGAGCTAGCTATCAGAAGTCCTGGCTGCAGCTCCTGTAACCTGGGTGGCTTCTCCCTGGGCTCCTTTTCCTCACTGGGCTCCATCCTTTGGGTGCCCCTTGCTTAACTCCTCAGTCCTAAAACTAGACAGAAAGGTCTTCCTGACTTCTAAGCCAGGCCTGGAAGAGAGTGAGCTGGTGCACAGAGGGCAAGTCCTCATCCCTGGACCCGACAGGAGCTGTGTGCAGTCATAGGTGCTGTGGAGGCGCCACCTGGTCTCTGTCACTATTCAAGGGGGAGGCTTTGGGATCAGCTCTTTCCCGAGCAGAACCGTCCTCCACACCTGAGAGCTAAGGACAACACCCACAGAGGCACTGGCTCCCACCGGCAGGTCAAGCACATGGTGTCAATAGTGGGCTTAGCTGTCAGAAGCCCTGGCTGCAGCTCTCGCGAGTGACCCGAGGCAACCTGGGACTGACTGCCTCTCCTGGCACAAGGCAAGCATTTATAAACATGTGCTGAATAATGAATTCTGAAGCCTCCCTGGGGACGGCGCTGAGCTCAGGGACACATTCAGGTGAGGCACAGACCCTCTGTGCTCAAGGGTAAGTGCCACACAGATACCGACTTTACTGTCACATGGGTCCTTCTGTTCATTCCACCTTCTTCCAGAGGAACCCCCTCCCCATACCGGGACCACCCCACACACACACACACACTAAGGCCTGTGGATGTTTCCCTGTTGGTTCTGTTTTGTGGCTCTTCGCTGAGTGTCTGAGGGCCTCTCTACTGACACCAGGACACCTGGAGTCCAGAGACTCGGGTGACAGAGTGAATGAGCCGGGCTGCTTCCCAGAAGGGGACCCAAGCAGAGTTTTTTGCTACTGCAAGTGACTCACTCAGACCTCCCCAGTCTCCATCTTTACTGCAAGTTCAGGCCACATCCAGGGCTGCTGCACCTTCTCAGCCCTCCCTGTGACTCTGAAGAAGACTAGACCATTCTAGAACAAGCACATGGCCAAGCCCTGTCTAGATGCTAGGGAGCTGGCAGATGGGGGTCGATGAATTTACTTTATGGCTGGTACTGGGGTCAGGCCCTGAGCCACACTCACAGTGAGACAGCTCAGCAGATAGGACCAGGCCCATAGCCTCGGGTACTCATCATGGAGGCTACAAAATGCACCCAACTCTATAGAGCATTTCCTCTACGGGAACTGCTTGCCCTGCCTGTGGGTTTCAAACAGAGTATGCAGGAGTGATGCCATGCATGGAGGTCGGTTCCTCAAAGGGTGAAACGGGGTTCACATGAGAACAACACTGCTCTCAGGTGTATATTCAGGGCACTGAAGGCAGGGACTCACATACCTGTGTATCCCACTAGAACAGCACCATTCACAATGGCCAAGAGGTAGAAGCAGCCCCAGGGTCCATCAAGAGATGGACAGAATGTGGAACTTCTGTCTAACAAAATGTGGAACTGCCACGTAATGAATATGATTCAGTCTTCAAAAGGAAGAGATGCTAGCTGGGCAGTGGTGACACACACCTTTAATCCCAGCACTTGGGAGGCAGAGGTAGACATATTTCTGAGTTCAAGGTCAGCCTTGTCTACAGAGTGAGTTCCAGGACAGCGGGGGGCTACACAGAGAAACCAGGTCTCGAAGATGAAGAAGGAGGAGGAGAAGAAATTCTGACAAAGATGACCCTAAAAACCATCCCTCAGTGAAAAACGCCAGTCACGGAAGGACAGACCACGGATGGCTTGGCTCCATCTCTATGAGGCTTTGCGTCATCAGTCACAGACACAGAAGAAAACGTCAGGTCCTGAGACAGGAGGAAGGGACTGGAGAGCTGTTTAACGAGGGTGACGCTGATGAACAAGAGGAGAAAGGCCTGGCTACAGGTGGGGAGGGTGGCCCCCTGCACTACACGCGTAGTTAAAACCACAGGCCTGCATCTACGCAGGAATACTGTCACGTATTGCTGTATCATAACTTTTAAAGGCACCATGCCCTTCATTTCCTCTCTGTGTGTCTTTCTCTGTTGTCTCACACCTGTCTCCTTTTTCTCTGTTTTGTCTCTGCAGATTGTGTCTGGAAGTGTCCTCCAAAGATCCACACGTTGAAGGCTTGATTCCAGCACAGGCCACTATTGAGAGAGGGCTCCTTTAAAGGGCGGGCCTAGTGAAGGGAAGTTAGACCAGTGGGGATGTGTTCCTGAAGGTGATCTTGAGACCCCCAACTCCTCTACCCATTGTTCCCCTGGTGCCATATGTGAGGTGAACACATATCTTCTGACATTTTCTTCTTCCACAGGCCCAAAGCAATCAGGCCAAGCAATCATGGGCTGTGACTTTGTGTGTGTGTGTTCATGTTCACACATGTGGGGGACACATGTGTGTGTGTGGTTACATATGGGGGTCAGAGGTTGACACTTCCTCAATTACTCTCAGCCTTAATTATTATGAGGCAGGGTTTCTCACTTGAACCCAGAATCATGGGTTCATCCAGTCAGCTTGCTATGGGCATCCCTTGTCCCCACCTCCTGAGCACTGGGATGGCAGGCTGGCCACTCCACCTGCTTGGCATCACACAGGATCTGGGGATCTGAACCTAGGCTTCTCTGATAGATAAGTACTTGACCCACTGAGCCGCCTGTCAATTCCTGGACTGACATCCCTGTAACAGTGACCTAAAGCATGCTCCTCTTTGTAAGCTAATTAGCTCAGGTATGTCGTCACAGCAATGGAAACTGATGAACACTCTCTCCCTCTGTCATCCCTGGCTTTGGAGGATCTGGCTGCCATGTCGCAATGATGCTTACATGGCTCTGGGGAGACAGTTACTTATGGAGAGAAACTGAGATCATAAAAGGAGCCATCTTGGAAATTAATTCTGAGGTTCCAGTCAAGCCCTTGGCAGACACAGCCCTGGCTGTATTCACCATACGTAACGTGCCCTGGGTGTTACCTGTGCTGGGCCTGCAGTTGGGGAGGAGCCTGGACAGCTCAAGATGGTTCTGTTCCTGCTGCTGCTTTGAAATCTTTTTTAAAAATTATTTATTTTATTTTATGAGTATTTTACCTGCACATAACTATGTATACCAAGTGTGTACCTGGTATTCACAGAGGCCAGAAAAGGGCACTGGATTCCCTGGAACTGGAATTATAGGTGGTTGTGCATTGCCACATGGGTGCTGGGAGTCTGACTCGGGCCCTCTGCAGGGCAACACATGTTCTTAAAAGCCATCCCTCCAGCCCTGCTGTGGAATTCTTAATACCTTTTGGACCAAGGACACACAGGGGCGCTTTGGAGGGAGTCCCACAAGCTCTGTGGAAGCCTGCACCCTACCAGCTGCTCTTGAGAGCAGATGCAGGGACAAGTCTGTCTGTCTGTTCTGCGGGACAGATGGATGCCATGCTTGTGAAGCCACTCTATAAAAGAAGCTCTTCTGCCAATAAGAAGTCTGCTTGAAGCATGTGGGCGGGCCTTGGTTCAGGCCTCTGGAGAAGAGGGTCTGTATAGTGGCTGCTGCTTCCCACAGGGAGCTTTGTTCTATGCTGTTCCCCTCAGCTCATCCTACCAGGCCCCTGGGAGAGTGGCAGGGCCCATTTCCATTATCTGAGGGGACACAGAGGTCCCTCCCCTCCTCAGCCTGCCACACACTGCTTCCAGACTTACCCCCAACCCAGGGCTACTGCCCCACCTGTCCCCAGCACTTGCTCATGGTCTCAGGGTGGCCTGTGGACAGTTTTCTGTTTACAAGTGGCAGTGAAAGTAAAAGAAGGCTGAGGGTAGGCTAGGATTCCCCCTCACCTCCTCAGAGAGCCCCCAGATCTTCAGAGAGGACTCCACAGGGACCCCACAGCCTTAGGTCTGTGTCCTGGAATGTTCCGGTTTGGGGTCCTAGCCTGACTGAAATAAACCTGCTACAAAAGGAACTTCTCAAGGCCTCTTCTCCCTAGTCCACATGGGAAGCTGGAACCAGACCACTGCTTGGAACCTTCCCAGAACTACACCAGGCTTCTGGCCAGGTCAGGGAGATGTCTTACTGAAGAACCAAACAAAACAGCAACCTAAAACATACCTGGACCCCCACTCACTAAAATAAGGCAGTCATGCAAACACAGAAAGATTTATAGCTCCTGGTTGCTGCACAGTTGGGTACACATGGGCTTGGAGGTACTGGAGGAGTTGGGCCATCTCCCATGATCCCCAAGAAGAGATGCAGTACCCAGTAGTGAGGTAACGGGCTCTTGACAGTGAGCTGCAGACACCCAGCAGCCCAGCGGTCTCATGGGCACTGTAGAGATTCAGGTTCCCGGGCCCCCCCAGACCCCAGAGTCAGCTCTCCAGGGCAGGCCCAGGCACCCGAGGCCAAGAGGGTGAGGTTCGATGCTGGGTGTGGTGGTGCGCGCCTCTAATTCCTGCACCTGGGAGGCACAGGCAGGTAGACTTCCAGGAGTTTAAGGCCAGCCTGGTCTACAGAGCGACTTTGGGACCAGCCAAGGCTACACAGTGAGACTTTGTCTCAAAAAAAATAAAAAAATAAAAAAAAATTAAAAAGAGGGTAGGGTTCTGAAACTAAGAGGCTAATATTAATCAACTGGTGGCTGAGACCCAGAGGGGCTCAGAAATGGAGGCTGTAGCTCTTCCCTGCCAGCTCTCCCCAGCCAGCTCTCGGTGTGGGCAGGTGGGCAGCTGCAGACTTCCAGCACCTGGGAGCGAGACAGCAGCAGGAACTCCCACACTCCCCCAGCAGATTAACCTTCCCTCTCCCTGTCAGGCCCTGGGCTTGAAAGAGATGTAGAAGCCAGGCTCCCAATCCGGCCATTCCTCAAAGTCCCTGAGGATCCCTTTAAAATGTGTTCTTGGGCTGTGTCCTGGCAAGACTGAATCTTTGGGGGGAAAAGCCTAGGAATCCACGGATAACTCCCAGTGTCTCTAAGGTCAGCCAGCACTTCATCTGTAGATGTGGGCAGCCACACCCAAGGTTTCTCCAGTTGCTTCCCCAGCATGGGTAAGATCTGAGCTCCCAAACTCTTCCTCAACTCCAGAGGGCCCAGAGTTGGGAAGAACAGGCACTTATGATGTACATGCACAGCAAGGGCCTCGCGATAGCAACGGAAGGACTGGGTGGCCAGGGAGATCTGAGCCGTCTTTCCAGGTCAGCACAACCTTGGTCCCTGCAGCTCCTTGAACATTTGTCTGGGCTTTAGGAAGGGAACTGACAGGCAGAGCAGCTGTGCTTTCTGGAGCCCAAGAGTTGGCAGGGGAGCCAGCATCCTCGCTGTCCTGTCTTGGCTCCCATCTGCGCAGGCTGTGGGTAAACGGGACTGATAGACTCTGTCTATCCTCCCGGCAGGACCCCTCACCCCATGTGTGGGGCTTGGATAGGTCACTGGCCACAGGTTCTGCATGCTAAATATCTCCATAGGCATTCTCAGAACCACCTACTCTACCCCCCTCTGGGCTGCTCACCAATGTTGGAATGCTTCAGCAGGCGGCAGATCCGAGCTTCTCTCTCCAGTTTCTGGTGATCTGGCAACAGAAAAGGGCAAGGTATCACCTCGTTTCTCAGCGGCTGAGGACTCACGGCTGCCACATCAGGATAGGTCCCCAAGTGTGTGTGTGTGTGTGTGTGTGTGTGTGTGTGTGTGTGTGTGTGTGTAGCAGCCACCAAATATGAGGCTCCCCAGGAGGTTTGATGAAGGTGTCCACCCATTGCCTGGCTTCTGGGGCACCCACCTGGCTGGCTGCAAGGGAGAGGATGGGTATGGGTAGCTAGAGCCATAAAGAACTGGTGTCTGGGACAGAGGCACACATAGGAGGCAGCGAGTAATGTAACTCTGGGCTGAGAGTGTTCCCAACAAGGTAAAGAACAGGAATTCTGTTAGCGGCACACTGACTGAATCCTTCATTTACTGTTCTGATTCCGCTCCTAGCTAGTTGTGGGGTCTGTCGAACAATGTGCCTGCCAGGTGGCAGCAGGCATGTGTCCTCAGAGGCCAGAGTCCACTGCTTCTGCTTGCCCTGCCAGACATAGATCTGGCTCTGAGACAAGCAGATATCAGACATCTGGATCCTCGTTCTCAGAAGAACTGAGAGTTGGCTCACTTGCCTAATACCCATCTCCTCCCGACAGGGCCAGCGGTCCTGACTGCTCCTCTATTACGCCTTCCTTAAGGCCCCCAAAGATGGAACAACTTACTAGCCAGAGTTTTACATTCCAAACAAAGGGGCCAGGAAGCTTTTAAGAACAGATCGAGGGGCTGGAGTGATGGCTTAGTGGTTAAGAACTCTTCCAGGGGACCAGGGTTCGATTCCCAGCACCCACATGGCAGCTCACAACAGTCTGTAACCTGGTCTGGCCTCTGAGGGCACCACAAATGCATGTACACAGAAGAGATTCCACACCCGCTTCTGGCCTCTGAAGGTACCATAATGCATGTACATAGACATATATGCAAGTAAAACACTCATACAATAAGATAACAAAATAAAAAAGCTGATCGAGATAGCAATAGCAAAACCCCCAAAAGCCCCGTCTAGAAGGGAGGGGTCTACCTGACCACAGCCACAGCCTCAGCCTCAGAGTGGAATGCGGGGCAGGAAGGAAACTGCAGCTCTCGCTCCAGCTCATGCACTTGCTAATTAGTGCTGCGGCTGTGCACAAATGTGTGTGTGTGCGCGCGCGCGCGCGTGTGTGTGTGTGTGTGTGTGTCAGTGTGTGTGAAGAAAAAAAAAGGCAGGCTTTTCAGCACTAGCGCTAAGGACAGCGGCTGCCTCTCTGCCAAGATTGGGAGGGGGTGGACAGGGAGGGGGTGGAGCTGGTATTTTGAACCCTACCTCTTGCTGAGTGCTGAGCCCCTCCCAGAATGGCGAGCCCATAATGAACGTGCCAATCCAGACCTCAGAGGGGTGCCTTCCTCACTATGGGAACTCCCTAGGACTGACAGAAAGGAAGACCGCAGGCACCCATTACAAAATGCTGTTTGGGAGGTGTGCAAAGGAGTCTTCGGGTCTCTGGTCCCCAGTGCTGGAGAAAGCTGTCCCTGCAGGAACTCAGGCCTGGCTGAGCCTTCTCTGTCGTTGGATGCCTGAGGTGGGATCCATGTGGTCTAGGGTATGGACTGCTGTGGAAATAGGGCACCTATGCCTACAACAGGCATGTCCTTGAAACATACTGGGAAGGCTTTCTTCATCCCCACAGCCAGGCCTCACCCCACTGTCACCAGAAGCCCTGGCCTCCCCACTCCCTCAAGGAGATCATCCACCCTGTACTCCAGCCCCCTGTGGAGTGACAACAGAGAGGAGGGGTGGGTAGGGGTGACGGGGAGCAACCCATCTTTTTCTCTCTGAGACGGAGTTCCTGAGTTCCATCGCCTATTAGGAGCTCAAACACGAGGAGAGAATTTGCACCCCAAACAAGAAAAGGGCACATAGGGGGGCTGTAGATAAGCTGGCTCATTTACTTTGGCAGTGGCCCACACACACGCGCGCGCACACACACATTACACACCTGCTAACCCAGGGGGCTGGTTAGGGAAACTCAGGCACTATTTATTCCTCCTGCCAGAGGAACACCCCTCAGATAGAATGCAGCATTCACCACACTCCCATGAAAGTACTTATCAGAAAATAACAAAACAAAAAATACCCAACACAATTTTACTCAAATTTTTCACTAAAGCGGAGCCTGCAATTATCCACCCGCCTGCCTGAATTCTAATGATAGTGCAGTGTCCCGAGATGCCACCCTCGGGAATGCCGAGGCCTGGAAGCTTTTCTAGGTGATTCTGCCATGATCTCAGTATGCAGGCCTACCTGACTTGCTAGGTTGTCTACTCAGTCAGATACAGACCTCAGATGTCTCTGAGCTCAGCTGCATGTGTGGGGCCCAGGGCTGAGCGCCAGCAAGGCCCAGGCCATCAGGGGACCTGGGAGAAGAAGCAGCTCCAACAGAGCCTGCACACCCATGCTAAGTGACTCACAGCAGGGTGAGGCAGCCCCCTCCCCCACACAGGATGCACCCCTCCTCCCCCGCACCAGCGGAGCAGGTGACCCAGTTCAGCCTCAAAGCCAAGGCCTCTCCTCCATGTTCAAGGGCTGTGACAAAGCCCTGGCCTGCATCCTCTGCAGCCTCCACACACTGAAGAGTATGTGTCCTTGTGAATGTCGCTACAGAGGCATAAGCAAAGCAGCCAAGAGCCCAGTGACAAGGTTTCCCTCCTCCCTCACCCCGCGGCCCCATGAAAACCACTGTAAGACCCCAGACAGTCTGCATCACCCACTTGCAGAAACAGGACCAATGCAAACCCCTTTGACTGCCCTTGGATAGGACAGTATACGACCTAAGGCTCAAGCTGCCTTCCAGATCCAGGGACTATCCTGACAGCTTTTGGGAGCCGCTGCGAATCCCTCGGGGTTCAGGGAGCAGAACAGAGCTCTTCGGTGCTGTCACTAGACAGGCGACAGAACCAGTGTCCATCACCTTAAAGATGACAGAGGCAGGGCCTGCCCCCAGGTGCTGGCAGCCGGGCCACAGCACCTGCCACATGACAGGCACCATCTGGGAGCATTACAGGTGACAACCTGTTTAATTCCAAAAATGCCTGAGAGGCAGCAGTAGCAAGCTGGTGGCTGGGGACAGGAGGTACAGCCCACCTTTGATCCCAGAGACACCCAGGGTGTGGCTCCAGGGACGCAGCAGGCCCAAAGGACAAGCTGAAGTGACAGTTGTAGAACTCTCTGTAAGTCACTCTCATTTCCCCGCCCTTTTTCTAGAGATAAGAAGGTTGAGATCCTTTGCCCTCTCCGTGCACCTTCCCCTCCCCCAATTCTCCACCCGTGTGCCCCCCCCAACCTGCTCCCTGGCAGAGGTGACTCACAGCAGGGGGGTTGGGGTGGCAAGCAAGAGGAGCCACTAAGCAGGGGACAGGAGAGCGTAGGTGGCACCAGCCCTGCCAGCTGCAGGCTGTCATGGGAGGACACTGGGTGGGACGGAGGAGGGGCAGGGAGAGGGAAATGTGAAGCCCACTTACACAGGAGGGGCTCCCTTCCCTCACTCCCATCTATGGTCCTGGGTCTCTGCAAGTCTGGGAACCAGAGCCCATCTGCAGCTGTGCGGGCCTGAATCCCACATGTCGTACAGCTTAGGATAAACGACACTCTTATGCTGGGCCTCATTTGGGTGATGGAACAGTAACAGGGTCTGGTTCCAAAGGACTGTCCTGGACGCCCGAACTGTCTAGAGGATACACCTACACCCATGCCTAGTGCAGAGTAGGTCCAGGGGGGTCACCCTATCAGTGGGCATCCCTGCCTCACCCCAGGAGGCTGCCAGCGATACCTGGAGAGCCTCTCCATTCTGTAGGGACACTCAGGACCTGTGAGGGACCCTCAGAGATACACAGGCCAAGTGGGAAGGGCTTGGGGATGTGGACATTGCCAGTGGGGACAGCAGTGGGCCCCTACTCACACTGCCTTTGTTCAGATACACAGGAGGCTGGGAATGGGCTGGCCATGGCTTCCTGGGTTGTTTCTTTGGGCTAAATCAGCTGCATTGAGCACGAGCCTAAAGCCAGCATCAATGACTCGGTGAATGTCAGCCTGTCTGTGGTGCCTCGAGGGACTGTAGGGACACCAGATAAAGAATAGCTGGAGGTTCCTGATTGCCAGGGCATGTCACCAGATTCTGGCCCTCCCCAGTGAAGGGACACAGACTACCAATAAGGCTTGGGTTGGCCTACTTGCAAGGCTCACTGGGGGCTCAGAATCTCTCCACTCAAAGAGTAGCAAAGATGCCAAATCCATCATTGCTGGTCCTGTTCAAAAGCAGCCAAGGTCACAGCAGAGAAGGGCTCTCCCTCCAGCCTGACGCTCACTCGGCTCATGCCTAGCCAGTGTTCCAGACTGCGCAGGGATCAAGGGCCTGCTCCCATTGTCTTTGGCCTATGGGAAGACCTGTCCCAAGGTAACTGGCACAGCCATAGGGTTCCGCTTTCCTTCTCATCTCTCTCAGCCACGTACATCCTGGACAGCCTGGGGGCCGGTCTTCTCAGAGAGCTCAGAGCAGCCACATCATATGACACCTGGGTATATTGGCCCAGCCTGGTCTGGTAACGACACACTTCAATCCCAGATCACATCCACCTGGGAGCTCAGCAGCAAGATTTCACACTCCCAAGGGACAGCATGCTCAGGATACCAGTTGCCAGTTCTTTGTGGCAGTGAGCCACTGGCCTGGAGACTGTGGGACAACCTGGACCAGAGACTGTATAGATTTCTTGTCAGGCCCACGTATGAGGCTGAAGAATGGCAGGTCAGAGAAGCGGAAAGAGGGCTCTCACTGTGGCTTTCTGTGCATGCTTTGTTTTGAAGAAAGCATCAAGGCAATTAGCCCGACAGCATCGGTCAGCAGCCATGAGGAGAGACGTCTGTGCTCGTGGCCTGCAGCTGCCTGCCAACCCACAGGCATCAAGAAAGGAGGCAGGGCTCTCGAGGGACCCTGACCACCTGCATGCAGCACAAACCTCCAC